GACCTCAAGAATAGTGCTACTTCTGCGGCTTGGTCTATTAAGGATTGATCCTCTTCGAACGTTCTGTCGACTCCCAACTTCTTCAGTCCCCACCTCGTCACCAATGAAGTCAAAGCGAGACGCGTCAAGGGAGCTGTAATATTCGTCCGGAACTTTACCGACCGGCTGGTTCTAATTCTGGTCCTCGCACTCCCTGAGAAGGACTGAGAGCGTATAAATGGCTCAGGCTTGATGGGCCAGTGTCCTCAAAGATGTCTTCAACTGCAACAACCGAAACCCACTCATCCATTTTCCGTCTTGTCGGCAACAGCGTCAGTGGCAAGGGCGGTGCCCCAGATGTCTCGTTCCAGTTCGCACCCATCGAGGAGGCGCAAGTGTCCCGAGCAATGATCAAGCGGTGCGGTCCAAAGTCTGTGTGTTCTATCCTCCGCTGACCCGACATTTCGCTTGCAGCTACTTCGACAGCATGTACGACAGAGCTGTTTCTGACGTCGTGATCGTTGGGGCTGGCAGTGCAGGACTGTCCTGCGCATACACTCTCGGCACTCAGCGCCCTGACCTTAAAATCACCATGTCGGTCGTTTTTCCGAGGTTGGAGCGTTCTGACTGTCTGATATAGCATCGAAGCCAATGTCGCACCTGGGGGTGGAGCCTGGCTTGGCGGGCAGTTGATGAGCGCCATGGTGAGAGACCTGGGCAATAACGCGGCCCTGCACGCAATGAGACAAACATCTTCTCCTCCAGGTCATCCGAAAGCCGGCGGACAGCTTCCTGCGGGAGATCGGAGTCCCGTTCGAGGATGAAGGGTCGTTCGTCGTGGTGAAGCACGCCGCGCTGTTCACGGCGACGCTGCTCTCCAAAGTCCTCGCGCTCCCCAACGTCGTTCTTTTCAACGCCACGGCCGTCGAGGATCTGATGACCAGCACGGACTTCGAAGGCCATGCGCGAGTGACCGGTGTCGTAACCAACTGGACACTAGGTGGGTCCCGGTCGCTATATTTCTGGGCTACGGCTGGTTTCATCTTTTGCGTCCAGTTGCCCTCAACCACGATACTCAATCATGCATGGACCCGGCCACGATCACTGCGCCAGTTGTGGTCAGTACTACGGGCCACGACGGGCCGATGGGCGCGTTTTCGGCGAAACGGCTCGTGAGCATGGGTCTCAACAAAGAGCTCGGCAATATGCGCGGGGTGACTTTTCGCCGTCTTCTTCTCGCAGCGAGGTTGATTGACTCGTGTCTTAGCTTAACATGAACGAGTCGGAACCGGCCATAGTCAAGTAGGCGCGTCGTGGAATTCTCTGTGGAAGGTACTCACGAAGATGGCAGCGGAACTCGGCAAGTGATCCCAGGCTTGATCATGGCTGGCATGGAGCTGGCAGAACACGACGGCTCGAATCGCATGGGCCCCACATTCGGTGGAATGATCGAGAGTGGCAGGAAAGCCGCAGCAGAGGCGCAGAGCATCTTCGACAAGTCCGAGATCGCAGGCGGCAAGGTGCTCGGAATGAAAACCTCGTAAAACACACACACACCCGAATTGCTTCTCGAATCACGCTCGTATTCCAGTACAACAAGTACACGAGTCAAGTACAGGTTACAGAATAATATCAATATATAACAGCACGAGATGGCTTATGCACTGGCGCTGGCGACAAAGATGTTGTAGTTGAATGTCTGGGGGGCACCGTCGAATGTGAAGGTGCTCGGCGCCACATTCAGCGCCACAGCAGTCTGTCCGTTCCGGTCCACTGTACCCGACAGTGTACCACCAGGTGTGATGGGGATAGACAGCTTGTTGACACCGGCAACAACCGGGAACGTCTGCGAGTTCGTCGGCGAAGTCGTCAAGGTCACAGTCCCGGGCGCAGTGGCCATCACAAGCGCCCACACATTGTCCTGGGTCAGTTGGAAGGTCGTCGGCGGCCCGACTGGATCGGGGGCCTGAGCCTGCGCCGGATGAGGGCGCGACCACATGAAAATTTCATCCTTATCGATCGTTGGGGCCGTGCCAGTCTTGAACTGGGTTGCGTAATATTGCGTAATCTTCAAAAGAGCTGCGCCTGTCTTCAGAACCTGGTCTCATCGCACGGGTAGAAATCAGACTCACGATCGTGAGGGAAGTTGTTGACCCAGACTTCACTGCCAGTGGGCAGAGCGCCCTTCACGGGGCCAATGTAGTGAGACTCTCCGTAACTGCAAAGGGACAGAGTTAACACTAGCAGCGCATGTCCGACTCGTGCACTCACTCATTCCACGTAACAACCTCAACCAAGTCGACCTGGTCACGCTCAGCGATCAAGGTCTCCCAGCGTCTTGCATACAGGTGCTGGTCAGCGAGGAATACAAACTGTGAGTCTCGCAGTCAGTTTCAAGCAGAGTCAGAGACACATGACCACGCACGTTCTTGTTGAACGTTTGCGGGCTAAAGTGCGTGAAGAACCAGGGAGCAGCAGCGGCCATGTATGCCGGAGCCGGGGTTGCAGCAGCCAGACCCTGTTTGAAGGAGATATCCGTGGCGTTGGATCCAATAAACTGATTCAGCGCGTTCGTGCCCTCCGGCCCGCTCACAGCGAGGTCCGATGTCACACCCGCGGCAAAGCCAGTGTTCACCTGGATGGGCCATCCAGAGTTAAAGTTGAATCCACCATCCATGACACCGTTGAAAGTCCCGAACGTGGCGGGGTCGATGAAGAAGGACGGCATGAAGAACTGCACTCGTCAGTCTGGGGAGCAGGTGGGGAGGAGGTAAAGCGCGACTCACGATCTTGCCAGCAAGGTCCGGGCTCTGCGCGAACTGCGACCTCCACCCATCGGCCGGGGTGCCCTGCCCGAACGTGCAGGATTCTCCGGCGAAGGTGGACACGAGCGCGCGGCCGCGGAACTGCATCTGACTCGCTGACGCAGCAAGTCCCAGCACACGGCTGCGGAGGGCTGCGCCGTCCGCAACAGTCGCGCAGGGCAACACGCTATCAGGGGCATATACTCAAAACGGGTGATCCGAAGAGATAACAGATCGGACGCACGACATATCGAGCGAGAAGAATAGCTTGAAGTTGCCCAGCGCCTCGGCGGCTTGGACGGCATTGGCGGTCTGCGTAACTTGGAAATCATCAGGGCCGACGTTCAGCGCAAAGCCATCAAGGCCGGACGCGAGGGCGAGGTTCATGTCATCGGTCCAGTCTTGGACGGTGTAGGGGAAGGTGTTCCCGACCATGTGGTGGGCAACGACGAGTTTAGCATCGCCTTGGCGGGCGGAGTGGCGGAAAGGAATGACGGCGGCGCGGGACAGGGCCAGGAGGGAGAAGACTGTGTAGAATCGCATCGGTCACCAGTGAGCGTGAAAAGGCACGGCCTTGAGAAGATAAAAAGAGAGGGAAGAAGAAGAATGTCGAATACGCTCGGAACATAGCCTTTTATATATTCGGAAGAAGAATACATCGTGCTCTGCTGGTCCCCAAACACGGAGGCGCTCATTGTTGGATGTGGAACAAAAGGATGAACATCACTGATTGGGCATCACTGATGGCGCGACATGTTCGCTACTTTTCGTGGTGATATATTTGCAGCACCCTTAGAATGTCAACAGATTGGGCCCTACAAATTACTTGGCCTATGGAAACAATCAAGTACAGCAGAACAAAACAACTCTATGCAGATCATCGCTGTTTTGATGGCCCGGGTGTGTGAGCTCGTCCTCCCAGTCTAGAGCGGGATGCTCGACGAGATGGGGATGAATCGAGCGCAGGTTCCGTCTCGTCCGTTTCAGATTCAGGCTCAGATTGAGCGCGGACATAGGTCTCCCCGTACCTAGTTTTGAGCGCAAAACTCACCCGCCGACCTCGAGAGCGGCTGCGAGCAACCAATGATCCCTGTCGTCGGACCGGAGAAGACGATGTTTCGGAGATCGGGGACGAAGGTGGCAACGTGGCATAAGATGCACCGGAATCGAACACATGTGAATTCCTTCGCGCCCGATGCGTCGGAGTCGAGTAGATGTATGGATCAGAGCGGGACGTGGTCAGCGGAGCAGCCCAGGCGCCCGAATACAAGGACGAGAGCTGGTGGATTGCCTGTTGCATCGCTTGCGAGATGATGAGTTGAGCCCGAGGATCATGCAATGGTGTAACCGGGCGACCATCATTTCCGCCCGGGAAAGGTTTATATGATGCTTGCCCAGAAAAAGGCTGCCAGTCCGATTGGTGAGATGGCTCTGGCCCTGATTCCGACTCCGAGTCAGTTTCGGGTTTCCTAGACATTCTGTCTCTGGAACGTGAATGTCGGCTCTTTGAAGGTCCTGGCGAAGAAAGCGGTGGGATATCTGTGCGCCGTATTGGGTCTGGAACGTGCAGAACAGATGGAAATCTGTTACTCAGTTCAGGCAGCTGGCTCGTCGATGATCTCCTCTTCCTCTTCTTCGTGCTGGGAGGAGGGAACTCGTAGTATTGTTTCAGTGGTGTAGTCGGGATGCTGGGCAAGTCCGACGCTCTTCTGGTATCCTCTTCTGGTTCAAAGACGGGCTCAATCATCCTTGCCTTGCCTTTGCGATCAATACGCCGATGAGGCGTGTGGAAGACTGAGTGGGCATCAGTTGATAGTCATGTAGCAGCTATAATATCGCACCTAAATCGTCCTCCGGGTCCTTCGGTGACCGTTCTTTCCGCTTTGTCGGTGATGGCGTACCGGCTTTTCTGTTAGACTTGGCCCTCTCGACTGATTGGGGAGGTGTCGACGATTCTGTGCTGGCTTCCTTGAGAGTGTAGTACAAGTTGGACTTTTTGGCTCGTGTCGGCCGGTCGAGGCCTTCCTTATGAAGGCTGCGACCGCGGGAAATGGAGATGTCTTCAACCGCAGGAGGACTCGATGAGCGGCTAGGTATAAAAGTTGGACCATGAGATCGTCTGCGGGACTGAGCTTTAAGCTTCGGTACTGCGGTGTCTTTTCGAGGGGAGACAGTCAGCCCATCTTCTCCGACTGATGATGCATGAGAGAGAGGGGGTGTTTGCAACTGGGTGTGGATGATGTCTTGCAGGGAACGAATGGGTGTCGGCGGGGTATATTCTTGTTCGGGCGTCTCCTGGTCCGAACCATCTTCAGAGAGTTCATAAACGGGGACACCAGCACGTGGTGTTGCAGGCAATGAGCTGAATGCATCCAGTTCGTCCCCGGACTCGAAGTCGTCGGAGTTCTCGGCCTCTTGTCGCCTCGACGGAGACCGAGCCGGAGCAGGGGGAGGCGAACCATTCGATTCCAGTGTGCCTTCATCGTCCTTTTCGTCTTGGGTATCATTGCCAGTTCGTTCCTCCTCATCCTCCCCCTCATCCTCATCTTCTTCGTCACCTGCCTCGCGTCTCTGTCTCTCGGCCTTCATGAACTCTTCAAAGTCCCAGGAGTCCGTGACCGGGTCCGTTCTATTGAGCAGAGGGAACTCCATAGCCAGCTTGCGGATTGAAATCTCCTCCGTCTGCTGCTTTCGGGGGCTCCGGTCCAGCAGATCCAGCTCGTCAAAGTCATCCTCTTCGTCATCCTCCTCCTTCTCTCCGTCTTCATCCTCGTCCGTACCCGTCGGCGTGTTCTCCTCACCCGGAGAAGGAGCGTAGAATCGTCCAAAGTCCCACCGCGACTCAGCGGTCAACACGCCGCGGTCTTTGACGACTTCTCCCGTGACAAGATCGACAATGTCGTCTTCATCTATGCGGCGGGAGTACTTTTCGGCCAGACCCGACCACAGGTTGATCATGCGCATGGTCGAGGCCGCACGCTCTTGGTTCACTTCGTCCGGGGTGGCAGACATCGACACGCGCGGGGTGGAGGATCTGCGTTGTCGCTTTGCTGGAGGAGTGTCATCATGAAAGCGGAAGGGCGAAGGGAAAAAAGTGGACGCCGGAGCTGGGCCGGCAGGGGCAGGGGACACACTGGATGGCGTAGGGAGATGGGAAGCAGAAGATCGCATGGTGGACTCTGCTGAACGCGATCGCGGTCACATGATTTGGCAGGCGCGTTGAGCAGCCTAAGCCGGATGAAGGCTACGATACAATGCCAGAGACGAGTTTACATTTAGTCTATCGCGACTGTTCCTAGTTTCTCGGCCAGGGAACGCTCTTCCCATCCGGGAAGCGCAACTCCTTGTGACGTTTGGACTGTCGTAAAATACCTTGACGGCAAGAACCCAGCAGCATCTCCTTCTGTCAAAACTACGCCATTATCAGAAAGAAAGAAAGCGATCCCGTCTTTAAGAGCGCTTTGCACGTCAATGAAGATGAGCACTTGCGAGGATTGCCGCATTCCTGTTGGAGGATGAGCGTAAAGCATGTGACCCCACACCAAACAAGTCTACCGCTGACGACGTTCTGACCAGCGACGCCTTGCGCTAGGTGGATATGGTTGCGCTTCATTTTAGAGAGCCCTTGCGTGGCTGAAGGAGATGTTGGGTCAGCCCAAATGAGAGCGGTCAGGACGCACCTATGGAATCCCATGCCGCTTTGGTAGTCCCGTGTACCGCGATACGGGACGGAATATCATCGACGGAGAGGATGGGTTTCAATTCAAGCTTCACAGTCTACAATGAGGTTGTCACAACGGGTGGATTTGCAACAGGAGCGAGAAGAAGCATGCCTTGATGGAATGTCCCTGATTCGCCTTCATCCACCACAACTCTCCCTCCTGTATGAGACTGTATCGTTGCTTGGAATCAGCTTTGACGATCTCTTGGATTTTTTCGAGATCTAATGTCTTGAGCTTGGGGTTCGCGAGCTAGGCAGCCGTCGGTGAAGTTCACCAGGAGTCCTTCCGAGAAACTAACCAGATCTGTAACCTTGATATAACCATCGGGCCTCATGGCAAGTCCTTCGCTTTTTGCACCATGCCTAAGGATCCAGGACAAGGTCTTGGATATCCTGACTTCAGGAGAATCTTTCGGAAGCCCTCTCAGTTTCTCGGAACGAGGGCCGTTGCTCGATGTTTCCGACGATTGAACGTTGTCTCGCTTTGGTTTGGACTTGCCCTTCTTAGAATCGGGTTTGGTTGCTGAGGAGAGAGAAGGATTTGGCTGAGTGTCCATCGACGTTTGGCTCATTCAAGAGTGTACGAGTCAAGGTCAGTCAAGCGCACAGCCTCTTGCGATCTATCTTATCGCAACCCATCTTATCATGGCGGAATCTCATCTTATCAGCTGTGAGGAGTATGTATTGACTACTTTTCTTTTGCTACACGCATTGATTAATGGCCTGGATGGTGTACTCGTTGATGATTTCGTGCGTCTAAATAATTAGTCAGAGTTTGCTCTCTCTCAGCAAGTGTGGCAGCTTACCGTCGCTGAGGGATGGCCCGCTGTGCGATGTGGATGGTCAGAAACAAGAAAACAAACACTAATGATGCTTACGAATGTAGAAAATGGATCTGTCTGGGTCGTCACAGCCAAATGTCGTGAAATTCTGCGAAGCCAAACAGGTCGAGTTGGTGTATCCCCAATCGCTTGGGTCCGAGTTGATGGCGTTGAAGAGATTAAAGAGATTCACTGTTGCGAAGTTGGTGCCATTCTGACGGTGAGCCGCGAACAGGCCCTGTTGCACTGTGTTTTGGAATGTCGTGGTGACATTGGCTTGGAAGTAGACCTGTACGCTCAGCCGGTCAACCGCTGGACGGGACAATCGTTTGCACCCGCCGTACCCAGAGAATCAAGAAGTTCTTGGCCCCGTTTGCTTGCAAGATGCTGATTTGTTCGAGCTGAGGACAGGACCGTGAGTCGATAGACCCTACCCACAGTCGAAGCTGCTTACGAAACTTGACGCGGCCAGGTCCCAATCACCGCCTTGCTGCAGATATCGCGTCAGCAAAGGGCCCAGGCTATGCTTTGGATGATGCGCACCGCAGAGAACTGGGCATTGTCACTACACTCGGTCAGCAAACGAAGTTTAGTCTATTCCTGTGTCAGCTTACTTGATACCTGAAGTATACTAGTCAGCGCACGGCTCCAGGAAGATCAGGCCGCCTGCGTACCAAAATGAACAGTATAAAGAGTGCTGTCGGGGTTCAGATCGGCGAGGAAATGGCCCTGCTTGAGGAAGAGCGCAGTCTCATGCACGAAATCCGTCCGCAACAGATTATCAGACGTGAACGTCTGGCTCTCGTTTCGGCAGATATTCCATAGACGACTGGGACAGCCCACTCACGACTCCTTTCCTTGTGGAATTCCATGCTTGCAGATCAGTTACGGCGCCGCCGACAGAGTAGTCGATCAGTTTCGCGCCGACGGTGTTCGCCAGATCCTCGACCCACGTGTACCCGTTGCTGGCCCGTGCGCGGAAGTTATTCCCGGCGCGAGCGCCCGCGCTAGGGTTCGGAGGAAAGACGACTGGCGCAAAAGGGATGGTTCCTGGCTCCAAATATCATGGACCGGACCATTGCTTCATAATATTGACTGACCGTTGGAGCCGTTGGACGACCAGGAGTCTCCAAATGAGATGACGGTTCTGCGAGACAAGCCGGCATGAGCATGAAAGACAGAAATGGTGAGAGAAGCTGCTCACTTTGTCGCATTCAACTTGACTCCGGTATTCGCCTCGGTGAACGTCTTGTCCGAGAGCTTCCCACAAACAGGCGAAGCCTACAGCGCAGCGGTCAGTCAGTCTAGCTCACGAACACACGAGTGAGCAGTAAGGGCAACCTTGAGAGAGATGGGCGACGTGCGGTTGGCCGCGGCGATGAATTGCACGCGGTGTGCAGACGCGACGGCAGCGCTAGCCAGGAGACAGGACACGAAAAAGGCGCGCATTCTGGGCGTGATGGCGGGGCAGTCGTCCCGCCACGGACCTACTTATATGACAGGCGGCCCGGGTGCACTGGAGCCATGGGACCACTCGTCACATGGGCAGAGCGGACCGCTTGTTCGCATGGTGATAGAATCTCTGGGGAGACTCCGGAGGAAATAATGGAAATAACGGACTATTAACAGTGTGAACGCAGCAAGTACTTGGGTGATAATAATAGCGCTCAGCCGCACCCACAGAACTGATTGGTGGCTGTGTCGTTCGTGTTGATCTCAACTGCTGACTTCACCTGCGATGAGTGACGCTGAAGAGGCAACTGTACTCGGGAAACGCGCCCGAACAGACGACGGCGTGGAGGCGGGGGCCGGTGCATCTAAGCATATGGACGCGGAAGAAGATTCTGACGATGAACTTGGTCCCATGCCCTTACCAGCGGACGCGGAAGGGACGGTCAAAAAGAAGAGAAAAGGTGCGCCTTCGGATCCGCATCCCCTCTATTAAGCCTCAAGGAATATAGACCATCTTTCCTAGTTCTCCCTCATGAAAAGTTGTACCTCGACCATCTTCCTGACGCCGGTGAGCCTGTTCGTTCCGCGTTTCCTGACTGCAGTCTGATACCTTCCAGACCAATACTACAAGAGTTTCATGCACCGGGATACCATAAGCTTTACTTTCGTAACCAAGTTCGTGATCTCTCCGCTCTGAAGTAACATCCAGGCGCTCATCCTGGTTTCCAGGACGGATTTCATCATCACGACCTCGATCGACGGACACCTGAAGCTGTGGAAGAAGCAGGACGCGGGCATCGAATTTGTGAAGCACTACCGCGCCCACCTTACCCCCATCACTGCAGGCTCGGCCAGTGCTGACGGGCAGCTCTTTGCTACCGTTTCGGAGGATGGAACTGCGAAGGTGTTCGATGTGGTCAACTTCGGTGCGTGAGGAACTTTCTCCTGCCTCGTCAGACCTGCCTCATTCATATATGCAGACATGATCAATATCATTCAATTGGGCTACACACCGCACTCGTGTTGCTGGGTCCATCGGCGTGGTCAAGCACAAGGATTGCTTGCCGTGTGAGTATCTTCTTGCCCGTGACGGACAGGCTTGCAGGAACTGATATTCTCTCAGCTCGGACTCATCTTCGGGAACCATTCGTCTATATGACGGCCGAGGCAATGAGACGCCGCTAGAAACGATCTCTAATCTGCATCGCTCCCCAGTCCATGTCATGACTGTGAGTCCGTGGTGCAGTCGCTCGACACGGTCTGACGAACGATTGCAGTACAGTGATCGCTATGATACGGTTGTTTCGGCTGACGAACAAGGCTTTGTCGAGTACTGGCGGCCCACAGAGCCATTTGAAGCTCCGAAAAACGTCCCCGGCATGTGGGCCTACAAGTCGGAAACAGATCTCTATGAGTTCAAAAAGGCACGTCCCGTTCCATGTGCGGGTTGTACATTATGCTGAAACGCCTCTCCAGTCCAAAGCAACTCCGACATGCATTACGCTCAGTCCGGACTCTTCGTCATTCGCTACTTTTTCTTTGCCCGACCGCCAGATCCGGGTGTTTTCTTTCCTTACGGGAAAACTGACCCGTCGATACGACGAGTCTTTGCAGGCGATCCAAGAGATGCAGCAGGCCGGGACGGCGCTCTACAAGGTCGACGACATGGAATTCGGACGTCGTCTTGCAGTTGAGAAAGAGCTGGAGCTGCCGGGGCCAGATGGGCACATACCTGGTCGCTGGAGCAATGTTGTCTGGGATGAGAGTGGCGCGTTCGTGCTCTATCCGACGCTGCTCGGGCTCAAAGGTGCGCGCCCTCTGCGACTCTCAGGGATCGTCTGCTTACTATGACAGTTGTCAACACGGTGACCAATCGCGTGTGTCGACTGCTGGGCAAAGACGAGTCGGTGCGGTTCTTGAACGTGTCATTGTATCAAGGTGCTCCCGCCAAGAGAGGTTTGACCACGATTACGATGGCGGCCTCGTCCAACCCGATTCTGGCTACCAAGGCTGCTCGGGACCCGACTTTGTTCTGCACGGGCTACAAACGAGCGCGGTTCTACATGTTCACTCGGTCAGAGCCAGAGTGAGTGGCACGTGGTAGCGTCGAATGCCGAGGCTGACATCGACTACCAGGGATACCAAATCAGGTGACAGAGATGTGTTCAACGAGCGGCCCACGCGCGAAGAGCAGAATGTGGCGACGTCTGCTGTGGTCGGGTCGTCCGGGCCGTCTCCGCTCGCCAACTCAGCTACCATACACACGAGCATGGGCGACATGCACATGCGACTGTTCCCTGCGCAGGCCCCGAAAGCCGTCGAGAATTTCGTGGGGCACGCCCGCAGCGGGTTCTTCGAGGGCATCATCTTCCATCGTGTGATACCCAAGTTTATGATCCAGACCGGAGACCCGTTGGGAGACGGCACTGGGGGGACATCCATCTGGGGCCGCGAATTCGAGGACGAGTTTTCGGAGGATCTCAAACATGACAGGCGAGTTCTGTTTTCTTTAGCTCGAGCTGGGGTATGTTTCTGACCCTGTCGTTTCCAGGCCGTATACTGTGAGCATGGCGAACGCCGGGCCCAATACCAACGGATCCCAGTTTTTCATCACCACGACACTCACTCCCTGGCTCGATCGAAAGCATACTATATTTGGTCGCGTGATTTCTGGGCTGGAAGTGCTGCACAACATCGAGAATGTGAAAACCAGCCACGCGGACAAGCCTTACGAGGACATCAAAATCATCAGCGTTCAGGTCGAGTAATCACGTATTACATAATGATATCACAAATGTAACAAGCAGCAACGTGAAGCCCGAAAACGAAATCCCTGCCTGCTGCCCGCCGTTGGCGTTTTCTCCGGCGCTACTGGACGCAGTTGCGTCGACGTTGAGCACCAAGGGTGCGCTGAGCCCGATCGTCTGGTTCAGGCAATCCAAGAGCTTCGTGTCGACTCCTGCAGGAAGGGCAGTGTCTGGGGCGCCCGCGCCCTGGAAGACGGCAGAGTTGTTGTATCCGTCCAGGCTCAGAGCGATGCTGCTCGCGCGGTAATACTGGATCACCTGCTCTGGCTGGGGTGGTGCTGTCGACGTCTCGTTGTACGGCGACGCGGTAACGCTTGTGGAGGGAACAAGCGAGGACGAGCAATTGGCTTGCAAGGCGGTGATGAGTGCGTTGGTCGTGGTGCTGTCGGAGAGGATCCGGAAGACAGTCACGTTCGGGCCGTTGGATTGGAAGGCCGCCGTGCTCATCGCTCCCCCAGGCCGGCTGCTGTTGTCGGCCCGTCCATACTGCGACGTTATAAGCTCATGCGATCAGGGAACGCAGAGGAATGATTCAGACGCACTTCTTGGTTTGAGTGTAGGTGAGGGCGCCCGAAGCTCAAAGGCCAAAAGAAATACGGGAATCCGCGCCCAGACACATCTGCGCCAGACGTCCCGGGATATCCGCTTCCATACGTTCTGGTTTTATCCCGTTCATCTCCCGCACGACAGAAGAGCAAAGCGAAACTTGCCGCACCTCGAACCGAAAATGTCACCGCGCGTCCCGCCTCCTTCTTGGCGCCCGGAAAACGGCTGGCCAGCAGCGATGGTGACGACCTGCCCGCCCCCGCCTCCGTACGGCACTGCCGTTCTGTCGACAGATCAGCCCACACCTCCTTCAAGGGTTTGCAGTGCCGGGAAACTGACTTTCCCGAACCACCCCCGCTGCTAATGGGAAACGAAGGGCCAGCCTCGCCTGCCGAGTTGGTGCTCCCTCCTGGGGAGTCGTGACTTGATGAGGATCCAGAGCTGGGGCTACTGATGCTGCCCCCCGCATCTGCGCTCCCTCCCGCGGAGCCGCTCTCTGACGATCCAGCGCCGGTGCTCCCCCCCTCCTCTGCGCCACCGCCTCCTTTGGTACGGCGCTTAGATAGCCTGCGTGTACTGACGAGTGGAACAAACATCGGAATGTGGAAGACGGCGCGTGCTGTTCTGCTTTTATCTGTCGAGCATGCGCGGGATCAACACACAGCGGTAGCACATCTGCCAAAGACACCGCCCAGTACTTGATCGTCTCAGACAGTGAATCTGATGGCTCAACAGCAGTCGGCGCACACAGCAGGCGCCAATGGTACGGTACATATATAGAGCGGGAACTACTGATACAGAAGATGGGATGCAAAGTATGCTAAGGATATGGACAGGACGCATCACGCCTTGGCTACTGCCGGCTCAGACTCTTGTGGCTCTGCTGCAGCTGCTGGTGCAGTCTTCTCCGTCGGAACAGGGGGATTGGGACCGCCGTGCTGCTTGATCATGCGGGTCAGACTTTGCGTATCCGCGCCCCGAACCTGATTGACACGGTCAAGAAATCGGCGGCAGCTGTCGGTGGATCAAGCGCCTACCATTGCAACCACAGCTTTGTCCTTGATGGCGAAGAACGTCGGCATAGCAGAGACTTGGCTAGAAAGAGACGAACAACTCAGATGATGTCCGGGAAATTGACACGTGCACGGCGGCGTCACTCACAGGGCCTGGGCGATCGCGGGTTGGTCGTCCACGTCCACTTCGACAAATTGGACGTGCGGATTCTGCGCGGCCAGTGCTTCGAAACGTGGTGCAATCATCTGCAGGAGGTGCAGGGGCGCGGTCGGCCATCTTGGATCGCAGATGTACAATAAACACGAACCTTGCAGGGGCCACACCACGCCGCCTTGAAATCAACAATCACGGTCTTTCCTGCGGCTTCGGCGGCTTCCATGACCTGGTTCCACTGGGAAATGGATTCGATATCGACGGGATGCGACATGGCTGGTGTGAGGTAAAGGTGGGTGCGAGTGGATGTGTGCTTGACGGCTGGACGCAGCGAGAGGCCATTTAAATAGCCTCGGTGTAGTCAGCAGTCAGAAGACGCCAGAACCTCGCCGCGAATCCGTCAACGACGTGACCCATGGTGAGGATGAGAAAGCGCCGCACGTGCAAGCGCTGACCAAGCCTGTGGCGGTAATAAGCAGCGGGCGGTGGGCCGGGGATCTCACGACCGAGGTTTGAATTCGACATTTGCCGGCGGAACAGAGGGGCGTGACATGCAGGCTGCACCTCCAGTTCGATAAGAGTCGCAAGACCGGTCGAAAATACGCCATAGTGAGTGCAGAATGACACCACTTGACTGTTTCGAAGTGCAATTGACGCAGCAGAAGATGATCATCACGTAGATGGGGACATATGCGACTCGATGTTAGATAGGTCCTGACAGGCTTGAACAGGACTGCGCCGTCCAAGAAGAGTGGGCGAGGGCCGCCCTGGTCTAACGGCACCATCGGTCCTGGCTTCCGTGTGAAACAGAAGTCGTTGGGTCCTGTGAAAGCAGGAGTTCAATCCCCAATGAAAGTCTCGTATTTTCAGGAGGTTTAGTGGGTATTATCACGAGGTGATCGAGTCCCACACTGTTCGGCGTTTGCCGTTCGTGCGTAAATGCATTCCTACCTTGCAGACTGCCGACGAGGTCCTGGTTCCTACGTCACACAATTCACGGACATTCTTGAGATGGACCTATGTCGGTCTCAAGGTGTTATTCCAAACGTGCCGCAAAAAAAAAAAAAGAAGAGTGGGCGTGAGAAGGCATCCATCAATATCTACCATCGCAAGTGATGTCAGCACTATTACAACGCAACTCTGTCCATGATTTCCCTCGTCACCTCTACAGTCATCGACAAACCTTCCTCCTCTAATATACTCTTGAATCGCCGCTTCAACTTCTCCACGATCGAATTTACCCCAAGAGATTCAGGATGAGCCACTGCGAGATCTGCCGGGCAGGAGAACTTCAAGAACGTGTGCCCGTCTAGAGTTGTTCCGTTGCACGCAATGCACGAGTAGACGTCCAGCGGCACGCCCGCCAGAAACGCGCCGTGCATCTCCACAGGAACGTATGCTACGGGGTATCCCAGCAGGATCGCTGCAACGGGGATGATCGTCTGCGGGTCGAGATCGTCGGTCCAACGAGGTGGTGTACTGGCGAGCAGCGCCTCAATCGTGTCTTGGATTTCGGGAGGGGGTTCGTGCATCTATGTGCTCATGAGCCAATGGGATCTCGCAGGCATCACGACTCCGAGTCGAGGCGCACCAGGAGCGGGCTCTGCTGAAGCTGTATGAACGCGACATCGCTCAGCAAACCATCGCAGAGGTGTCGCCGCAGCGTATCGCAGTTCACGAAGAACGATTGCTGTGAGCTGCTTTCAAAGACATGCTCCACCGCGCGAAATTCCGCGTGGCTCTTCACATGTGCCGATGAGCGGAGACGTGCATAGCAGAGAATGCGTGGTTGGCGTACTTTTCGGAGGTCTTCGAGAAGACCGGGGTACAAGGTTTCCGGATCCCGAGCTGCGATGGCATCCACGAGATAAGCCGGGCTATAAATGCGCGCGTCATCGACGGACTTGGATCGGGCCAGGTCGTGCGGCGCACCGGCATCCCAGTGCGATCAGCGCAAGGTCCACGGCGAAGTTCCTTCTTTTGACCGCACCGAGTTTGCGGAAAGCAGACACGTTCAGAGCGGACTCGACACTTTCAGCAAGAACATCGACGTTGTGGATAAGCGCAGACATGGTGGGTGTGGTTTACATTTGTTACTGCGAGTACTGTGTATGGGATGTCCATGTTGTATGAGAATACACTGTTTCTGACTGCGTCACACGAGAGCCCAGAGAGAAGAAAGAGATAGAGGGACGAGAAAGGTTTTAGCATCTGGACCGAAGAGGCTCAAAGAGTCTGGAATGTGACCTCCGAGTCCGCCATCGTTCCTAGCCCATCGCGAAGCGAACGATATGGTGATGTTTGTGCTCGAAGACGCCGCGGTCCTCGGTTTTCTTCGGGAGCAGCTTCCACTGGCAGCGCGAGAGCTGGACCAGGAAAGAGTGAGGAGGCGACAGGCTCGCTTCCAGGGCATGGCTCCAGCAGATGTCGCGTGCTCTCGTCCGCGAAGAGATGGCACAGAAGCGAGAACAGGAAGATGCGTGGCTGGACTTTGGGCGCTGGGCTTGGAGGAGAGGAGCGCGAAGGATGGACCGACTGGGGGCTCGGGGGTGATGGAGATGTCTCTGACTCTGCGGTGGCGCTGGTCCAAAGTCCAGAGTCCAGCGATAGCGAGCTATCACCCTCAAGTAGTGTGAACGAGTCCTCGGATTCAGACTCGGCGTCATCGGAAAGGAGCTCGGCGTTGGGTGAGGGGAAGATGAGCGTAGACTCGGGAAGCCATGTCTGGGTGTGCCGACGGTGTTGGGCGTACATGGTGGAGGGAAACGGAGAGAGAAAGAACCCCAATCCCATGATCACGACTGAATGGGCTATACTTACGTTGGGGCTCCCTATCTTTTAAACTCTTATTCAGATCCACCGCAGAGCCAGAAAGGCCGCGATGCATCGGTGTCTAGGTGTCTAAGATTGACGCCAGACATTACGGCGTGCTGGCCAGACGGAGACTGGACCGTCCGTGAGTCACCACCGCGGCAGTCGTGAGATTGGCACAACATACTCAACCCCAGCTCATTTCCGCAGATACGCTATGGGAGCCGACTACCACTGAGCAGTGCAATGGCTGACAGTTTGAAGAAAGCCTTGAACCCAAGCTAGCCACGACGAGCCTATTCAAACTCCAGAGCCCATTCCTTATCTCCGCTTGATCGCCGCATCTAATCTATAAGCCGAAACGCGATCACGTGGATGATTGAAGTGGTATTTTCTTGTCTTTTGGGGGGTTTTTACAATTTTTATGAACTGTGTGCTCATGCTTGGAGTCCTTTGACTCGTCCTGTTGCCGTCACATCACCCAGTGGCAAAGAATGAGCGGTGCTGTGGTCCAGTCTCCAGTTCTCTACCATCGTTTTGGCTTCCACGGGGGCGACACTTCCATCACGTGTAGCGACGGTTATATGGAGGCGCTGCCGTGCTTCTTCAGGTATCTGGGACACAAATTCGGCACCATGCTGTCCGCCAGCTCCTTCCTGCTCGAGAGCGACGGCATCTACAGTGAGGGCCATGATCCGATCATTCCATACCACATGGCCCAGTTGCAGCTTGAATGTCGGCGGAGTCGTGCTCAGCTCATGCAGAGACTTGCACTGATTCCAAAAGCGCTGCAAGCCAGGCAGGGCACTTTGGTGGATTAAAGTCACGTGTGTACGATTCGTCACGCGAGACTTCACCGCACGCCAGAACGGGATACCTCCGAGCAAGGGCTCAAGCAAGGGCTCCAAAGCGATCTCGGGGAGGAAAGCAAAGTACCGCGGCTTTCCTTTGATTTTTGTTGGAGCCTGTCCCGTTTTGGCCGGCTTGTATCTGCGGACATAGTCCAGTGCTCCCTGGATCTTTGTCGGTGTCGGCTCAGGGAGCCCCAATATCTGCACGCAGCCTTTCACAGCACGGATGACAGAGGCCTCGAGATCATCGTGAGCGGACATTTCCACGATTTCGTCCACCTCGTCCGATGCCAGAGGCTCAGATTTGGTGATGAAGCTCCACAACACTTGTTCATGGGCCTGACTCGCATCCGGGAGCAGAGTTTGATGGTTTTCGCCCCGCTGCAGGACACGATCGGCACAGATTCGATGGATCTCAGCTGGTGGGTAGTCATCGAGTCCCCAGTGCAGGGCTAGCAGGCGAACTGGCTGAGGGAACGATGCGGCGGTCGTTCGCAGAGCCTCGCGGTGCATCTTCAAGTGGTTGTTTCTGGAAATTCACGCTCAGAGCCGCAATTGGCAGCTCTCGAAGATAAAACTGACTTGTCGGCAATAACAACGTCGTGCTTCTTGAGGAGATCGAACACATTTTTTATGAAGACAGGCGCGGGTTTCTTGGCGCGAACATCGTCGCTTTGAGTGTGCGCAAATCCGAAAATGTGTGACAGTGCAACCGACACTGCAGTTTTACCTACGCGCCATTGGAGCCGTCATCACCCGATAATGAAAAGTAAAACGCACCACAGCCGGGAATAGCCACAGGAAGAATGATCGTCTTGCCGTACTCAATCTTGGCCGTAGAAAGTGGAAGTGAACCATCAAGGCTGGCAGAATGTCCGTCGGCGCTGCCCAAGAATCGCTCTCGAACGGCAACGATGCCCTTGTTGTTACCGTACTCCAAGAAAGCAGTAGGGTTTCGTTGGATTTCCTCAATGACCCAGTTGACGTATGCCTTGGTCTCTGCTCTGCGTATTTTGTTCTTCGACAGCTTTCCGACAGCCATGGGATTCTTCCCCATCGGCCCGCCCCGCATCGTGAGAAGCTGCTTGGTGAGCTCGCGCCAGTCCCGGTACATCATGTACGGCTCGTCGAATTTGACCTTGAAGAAGAACGTCGATCCAACCGAGTACGGTGGCCCGTTGCGTGGATGAGAGCCAGCGGGGGGTTCGCCTACATGTGTTCGGACGACGAATCCTTCGATGGGAACGCCGTTCCATGTCCCTGTCTTGGCACATTCGTCCGTGAACTCGCGAACCGCTGCGATAGTTGGAAGCTGGAGGGAGGCTGTCGTGATGAATCCCCATTCCTTGGCAAACGCGTCGACCTGCTCGTGCGGGAGTGTCTTGAAGGCCTTCGTGCTTTCGTTGATGCCGTGCAGATGCAAGCCGGTGAGTTCAGGTGGATATCCCAGCACGTGCTCCTCGAAAGAGTCGTCGCAGAGCTGGTCGCGTTAAGTTGAGGTAGTGTTGCAAGGCCAGCCACTGAGACGTACCTCTGCCACCGCAGTCCAATTGTTCATCCAAAGCACATTCGCCAGATCTGATTCCGTGCGCCCTTTTTCTTCGAGATATTTGCGCAGCCACTTCTCTCCTGCATCCGCATGACTGACCTTCATCCCATCCGTTGCTGGTCCGATGGAATGTTTCGACGTGATGAGCAATTTCTCCGGCGTCAGCGCAGCGATGAAAATAATACATCCGTTGCTCTTGAGAGATAACGTATATGGACCGGTGGTGTGATCTTCCAAGGCTCGTTTCTGAGCTGTATCATCAGCAAGGGTCCAGTTGCAAGAAATTGAGCGGACGCACAGTAGTCCAGCCAACTTCTCCCACGTTGAAGAATTTGTCGTATCCACGCGCGACAATCCGATGCACTCCGTTCCCGTCTTCGGTCGTGAAGATTCCGCGTGCGAGCGTCGGGAACGGGGATGGCACTTCGTAGTACTTGAACTCATTCATCTTCCAGCTGGTGACTTCAATGGACGGATCCGCTGGTGCGGCATACTTGGACGAGGTGACGAGTCTCTTCTTCTTGCTATCATTGCTCAGCGCGATGAGTGCCTTGACGAGCGCCGAGTCCTCAGACGCGGACAGTGCGACACGGTTGACTGTTGTCAAGGACATGTCCCGAGTCAATCGTCGCGCTACCGTCGGGACACTCAACTGGAGCCGAAGCCCCCCAAGTAACGAGGCGCACAGAATATTGAGAATTGGATCCGAGCTTGACTTAGGTTGGTTGGATTGAGTCAAGGATCGCCGGTGACTTGTTGATGCTAATGGTCACATCCGAGTCAAGCGGGCTAGATTAGATTGTGTGCGATCGATCGCCGATGTTCCTCGGAGTTGGACCCGCACTTCGGGACTGTATGCACAAAATACAACTTTCATTTCATATTCTAGATAGAAATAATTACTGGGCCCTGGCCCACACCTGTCTTCCTTTGACCCACGTACTGACAACATTACCTTGCCGATCAAACACAGTGAGGTCGGCATCAGCGCCCGCTCGCAAAGTTCCCTTCTTGTTGTCAATGCCAAGGCATCTACAAGCAGATCCAATGAATAGTCATGACATGGAGAAGAAAAGCCAATCACCTTGCAGGGTTGAATGTTGCGCACTTGATTGCTTCCCCGAGTGAGCAGCCGGTGAAGCGCGAGAAGTTGCGGACACAGGCATCGAGTGTTACCACGCTTCCGGCTAAGGTGTTGGTGCCTTCCAGATACAATTTGTCCCCTTCCTTCACGAACCGCTTGCCATCTCGCCACTCGTGGATCCCATCTCGCAGGTTGGGGTCAAGGATTTTCATGGCTGCGGGTCTCAAATAAGATTCAAGGCCATGAGAACTTCACAGTGCACTGACCGTCCGTGATCAGGATGCAGCCAGCGGGATATGCTGTATAAGCCAGCTACCAGATAAAGTCAGCGACCGTAATTTGTTCAACAATGCAGGGATCGTACTCGGACAGAGTTGGGATGCGAGTGAATTCCGTCGACGATCATGTCATAGAACGGCCGTTCGAAGGCCATGGCGGCCACTCGGCCTTTCTCAAGGTGCAATTCAGGTCGAGTGGGGGCCCTTTCGGTCGACGGCTTGTAATCGAATGCTTCGGACGTCACACCAGACAGCGCAGAAGTCGCGGTAGGACTCGATGGAGGGGCGAAGTCGGTATTGAGCGAGGAAAGGTGCGGCGATGCACCGAGCAGCCCGATGATGGAAGGGTCTCGGTGGTGAAGTTGAGGCATGGCATTGAAAAGATGTGTGATGAGCCGCGCTCCTTGCATCACAGCCGCAGTGGCAATTTCAGAAGACGCGACACTGAGCCAGTTCACGATTATCAATACTTGACGGATAAGCCCACTCACCTGTGACCCATTGAGAAGATGATCCCTCTCTTAGTCAGTTCCTCCACTGCATCCATTACACCTGATATCTCGGGTGCCGCAGTGATAATGCGGACACCGCACTGGTCTTCATTGTCCATGAGCCAGTCTTCTTTATCCAAAAGATTCTCGGATCCGTAGGCACTTTCGAATGATCGAAAGCCCTCAGGGGCAGAGAGCAGAAACGGAGGTGCGTGGGCACCCCGTTTAGCCATATCAATGAAGGGTCCCTCGGCGTGCCATCCCAGAAGCGTGGCCGATGATCGCGTAGAATATGGGCGCAGCAGAGTCAGTATCTTGGGATACAGAGACTTCTCTTGAGTCTGATGGATTCTCGATCAGTGGAAGGTCGCATTTTTCGAAGGGCTGGCTCACAATCAGGGTTGGGACCAGTCTGCAGTATTAGTATGAGCTGTTTCCTTCGGCGCGGATTTACCAACAACGCACGAAGTGACCCCAGTCTCGACGATCTTCTCTGCAACCAATTTCATGCCCTCTCGGTATGCCTCGTCGTCTCCATCGTAAACCGAAAAGTCGAACCCGTAGGCCCCGTTGATTTGGATGTCAATGAGACCAGGACTAGTGCACTCATTTAAGTACAGACTGACTTGTGAGGCTTTTGATTGCACGTACCTCAGGATGTTTCCAGCCAGATCTATAATCCTATCTGGACGCTGCCGCCTCTCGAAGAAGGTCCGCTATTCAACAGTCAGTTCGGCGTGGAGAGGGTCTCATAGATGTCGAACACCTGAGCATCTAGTATGATGCCCTTGTCCTGGTCTATCCACAAGTCCTTCTCTATGAGACCCCCATCTTCTTGGGGAAGCAGGCAGTTCGTGAAGCACACTAAACCGTTCGGCATGGGCGCAGGTGGAGAGATGGATCTAATCTACATGTGGGGCTCTGACGACCGCGCCACGCCGATTAGACGGGCCATCTATGAGAACCTATCGGATAGAAGACAGATATGGACTCCCGGCCTTTATCACGGGTGTACAATATTCATCTTCGGTCGTTTTGGCCCAAGTTGACAATCGCGCTGCGGAGAAAGACACATTTCTGAAAACGCATCACTGAAAATTATTCACGTGTCGAGCAGGATCGGCGTGTAAGTATTAGTAAGTAGGCTGTAGCAGAAGAAGATAAGCATGGCTGAAATTTGAATCACCGTTGGCCGATACCAAAAGCGGTGCGCGCCGCTGTCTTCTCAAGCACTGATCGATTAGCTCAGCGAGTGATGTGAGCAATGAGCGGTTCCAAAATACGACAACGCAAGAAAGTTCAAAAGGACGTTGGCGAGCCTGCGACCCAGCTAGGATCGGACTCAGATAACGTAAGTCACGGTCTCTCTCATTCACGTAGCTTCATCGCGCTCAACGGCCCAGCCTCCGGAATTCGACTGTGACCTCTCCAAATATGTCAAGATTTTGGTCCTACCGATTCTACTAGCTCTGGGGGTCGTGCATTACCTGGTACGCGACAGCGTAGGATCATTGAAGTCTACTGACAGGTTCCGCATCCTACGCAGCATCCTGCTCTGTTTAGGAACGCCGTTGAATCATACCTGGGGTTCGATCTCAACCAGAATACCATCTCCACGCCTGCGGACTTTTCCACCGACGAGGCGAAACGCGAGGCGATTGTGCACGCATTTAAGGTGCGTCGAGGTCCAACTACCCTGCATATACACTCAACGTCGCCGTATAGCATGCGTGGTTGGCATATGAAGCGCATGCCATGGGTGACGATGAGTTTCATCCTCTCAGCCAGGAAGGCACCAATCTGACGACCGCTGGCGGTATCGGGTACACCGTGGTCGACTCCCTCGACACCATGCTGCTAATGGGCCTTACTGAGGAATACGAGCGTGCCCGGAACTGGGTGGCCAACACCATGTCCTTCGACCGGAACGCCTCCTTCAATACCTTCGAGACCACGATCCGCGTCCTGGGCGGCCTTCTCTCTGCTTACCATCTCTCCGGGGAGGATCCGATGTATCTGGAGAAAGCCATCGAGTTGGCTGATCGCATGATGCCAGCGTTCAATACCCCGTCTGGACTCCCGCTGTCCAATATCAATTTGGCGCTCAGACAAGGAATCAACGATCGCGAATGGCCCGAATTTGTCAGCAGTGCTGAAGTAGCGACTCTCCAGCTTGAGTTCCGATACCTCAGCTTGCTGACAGGCAACACGGAGTACTGGCAGAAGGTCGAATCGGTACGCGCATGGTTTCATTTCTTTGTTCCATTGCCCTGATGGTATCACCAGGTGATGAGAGTGTTGAAGGAAAACCTGATGCCGCATGGACTGGCTTCCATCTTCGTCAAGTGAGTGAAGATACGTTGTCAATTAGGGGCAGACCCTCATCTGCTCCAGTTGGCGAAGCGGTGAATGGGTTCTCTCAGCCATGCGACTCGGATCAAGAGCAGATTCTTATTATGAATATCTATTGTATGGCCCCTCCTCTGCTTTACTTTTTGGCGCTCATACTTTGGAAAGAAAACAATACATCCAGACTGTATGTCATTCGGATTGATCCTTGATTCCGGACCTCATCGTGCTATAGAACGCAAAAGAGGCCGTTTATCGTGATGTAGTGCATCTACGGCCGAGCAGAATTTCCTCGACTGACGTCTTCCAGATGTACACTGCGGCTATGGATGCCGTGCACCAAAACTTGATCAAAAAGAGTGCCTATGCCAGTATGACTTACACCTCGGAGCTGATCCCGGAACGAGACGACCGTGGCGAAATGTGCGTGTGCTTTCTCAATGCTTGGCAAGGCGAAACTGAATGGGAGTAGTTCGTGGCGCTTGACACCCAAGCAGGACCACCTTGTCTGTTTCTTTGGTGGCTCGCTCCTGCTGGGCGCAGTAACCACCGGTGCCTTGATCCACCCTGTTTCGGTCCCCCCACGGCCGGAAGAATTGACAGACGCCGGTAAACGGGACTGGAAGACTGGTCTCGCTCTGATCAAGACATGCATGGATACTCACAACACCGCCACGTGAGCAGAATTGCGTCCACACGACTCTTGCTCATCGTGGCATCCACAGCGGACTCGCACCTGAGATTGCTCATTTCCGTATAGCGAGTGATGGCATCGGTGCGATCGTTTGCAAACCATCGTCCGGCGTCTAACGGCACTATCTAGGCCACGATTCGATGTTCCCCACGGACTGGTATATCAAGGGTGCTCGGTGAGTGAGATCTTCCGACCGCCTCCAGATGTTCTAGATCATACTCTAGCGTCAAACCAGGGGAGTTGCCGCCCTATGACGCAAGATACATGCTGCGGCCAGAAACAATCGAGTCGCTTTTTCTCGCTTTCCGGCTTACAGGCGAGTTGCTCTCCAGTCTGACCTCATTTGAGATTCTCATCGGACCGCAGGCGATCAAAAGTACCGGGACTGGGCCTGGCAGATCTTCAGATCGATCGAGACTCACTGCAAAGTCGAGTCCGGTGGTTATGCCACTATCATCAACGTCGATGAAGTGCCGTCACGCAAGGAGGACAAGATGGAGACCTTCATGCTGGTTTGTCGGAGCTCGGATAATCTACTGTGACGTTGAACGGATTCCAGAGCGAAACACTGAAATATCTGTATCTGATCTTCTCAGAGCCGTCGGTGCTACCCTTGGACAGTAAGTGGTGCACAGCTTTCTCAAGGACGCAGCTGATATCGGACCGTATCAGAATATGTGCTTAACACAGAGGTGTGTTCATTTTGTGGGGCCGAGCTTCTGTCGCTGATGATCGGTTTTGCAGGCTCACCCATTGCCTATATTCGAGATACCTGCGGACTTTGGCGGTTAGATTTACTCGTGCATAATCATATTTATTTGCGGCATGGGGCATGGGTGAGTGGTGTTACAACAGTTCCAGGAGATTATAAGTACATCTAGTGTGGTCCGATATGGGTTTAAATGAATGGTGGTATGTGGGACTAATCATGGGTTATATGGTAATGCTGATAAGTTATTTCGCCAGGACGGCAGCGTACGTCATTCCTTTCGACAGGCTCTCGGCGACGGACTCCTCGTCATCGCTGCGATAGACATGTTCCCACGGTTCGTCTGCGAGGACGTCCTGGGGAGCACTGTCCTCGAGGACGATCACAGAGCGCTTGGGGATGAATACAAAGTCGCCTTCTGACCGTACTTGAGTGGTGCAGTCATCAGGCACAGGGGAGGATAACGTTACCTGCGCCTTTACGTGGCTTGCCAGATTTGACCTTGAAGTCAGAGAGCTTCACCTCGGGAAGCTTCGGGGAACCGAGGGGGAAAGCGTCGACGTCATAGCCAGTGTCGTCGAAAGCGCCGTCTAGCGAGTCGACCTCATCTCGTCGAAGCTGCTTCTGCTTCTCTGAGCCGAGTGGCGCTGTGTTCCGTCTGGACGACTTGTACAGCTCACCCTTGCTCAAGGCAGCCCAGACGCCCTGGCCTTTGCGGGCCTTGGTCCTCACGAGGTCTGCGGCGCGCTTGACTCGCTGTCTATCGTGCTCAAACGCTCGCTGGTCCTTGACGGACGCTAGGAGTGGGGATGACGTCGCCAGCGTGCTGTCCTTATCGGCAACAGGAGTCATAGCAGGCGACGCAGTCGTAGCCACAGCGGAGTCGGCTTGGGCAGGCATCAGTCGGTAGTGAGTGTTAATGTTGAGTATGTAGTGGTTGGGATCAAGGAGCAGGGGTCCTGATAACGGCCATTATATACGCCTGTCAGGCTGGGCCAACAGCACGGAATTAGCATAGCAGTGTCTGTGCTCAGCGAGTCACATGTCTCTGATAGCCTTGGTCTCCACTATCCTCACTAAAGCCGACTTGGCTTCTCTGCCCCCACAAGATAACGAGATATATACCATTTCGAGAGTGTTTCGAGTCATACGGAACAGCCCGCGCCAGCAGCTCGTATCACCGACTTGGGCTTGCCCACAATCGTCTGAAACCCCGGTCAACCCCCGTGCGCACAGGCACGTTCGCCCCCCTGCATAATATCCCAGACCAGAAACAGCGTTCCCTGCCCTCACTGCATGCTTATTACGGGGCCGAGTACGGCACGATGTGGCACCTGCACGGAGGCGATGAATTTGGGCTCGATCTCATTGTGGTGCTCGACTCACCCGAGTAGTCCGCGCCCTTCCCACTGCATGGGCGTCAGTGTGAGAAACACGAACTGACCGGCCCGAAGGACCTTCAAGGGTATCGAGCGCTGGGGTATTGTTAGTCAGTCTCGCGCCTCGGACTTGGCGGCATAATCATGGACACGCACATTCTCGTGCGCGCTCACGACGTCCACCAAGGGCTTGAGCGACGAGGAGGAGAACGACTGCTCCGTCAGCGTCCCGAACTTGACCACCAGGTCGTTGCGCAGCAGTCCCTGTGCGCGGGGGTGTTATTTAGACGCCCAGTAGTGTCTACTCGAGTGCTAATGCGACGCACCGCGTACGCTGCAGGACTCCCCGGCGACACTCCGTCCACCTTCGCGAAGGGTCGGGCGCTGCTAGCCGTGGTCGAGTTTCCGGCAGCAGACTGGGCCGCAGCAGCCGATGTGGGGTCGTACACAGCCTGCAGGGCCAAAGCGAGCTGATTCATGAGAACGGCCAAATCATTCCGGAGCTCGATTCTGATGGAATTCCATGTAATTGAGGACGCGGACCGGGGTAGATAGAACAAGTAAATTACATGCGTATACGGGCGTGGCGAACCTAGGAAAAGAAAGCAGGTTCAAAGATGCGCGTCATGAGCCGAGGGAGAGAGGAATATTACAGCGTAGATATCGATATCTGCTCGGGGGAAGCCCTCCGCATCGACGAGGGGGGAGTCGAAAGTGGAGTTGTTGGCGGCGAGTATGGACAGCTGGCCCCGAATCTGACCCTCTACATTATCTTTCTGCGACATCAGGGCGCGCGCCATGTCTGCGGACGCCATGGCTCTGAGCAACTTCGAATTGCATCCGCTTACGGTCCTCGCCGCTTACACACACTATGCCGCACAGCCACATGATTACTCGGTCAAAGAACATAACGGTAATAGATGCTGCGATCTCCGAGACGCTTCTGTGCTACTTCATCCTCATCACTGTGACTCTCCCCTTTCTCTGTCTCGTAGTCGGTAGTGAGAGCGTCTCGTCGTTTGTTCTCTCTGGACATGCCATACCACAGCAGCGAAGCCACGACGATCGCAAACAGTAGGTAGCCGATAGAAATAGTGTGTGGTTTCCGGAATCTGTGATTCGCAAACTCGGGGCGATAGATCAAGACACTGTCGAACTGAGTGCGGTATAAGCGACATGGGAATCAGACTCACCCTGCGATGGCTCCAATGTCTGTGCAGATGAGATGAGCAATTGGCGGACACTGGCGAGGAAGGGCATACCCCCGATAGTGATTTGCATGGCGACACTGACAGCACGTTTAGTTTGACCAGAGACATTCTCGCCTGGCCAACTAGGACGACGTGAGAAGGGCGAGCAGAGAGATGGCGCATATAATCACCTCAGCAACAAGGCATTGCCAGTATAGACGCCCGCGGCGGCGAAATGGACCCCAACATACTGCCCGCCCACTGAAATTCGGTTCAGTACAGATCTCGGGAAAAGAAAGCAAGCTTAATCACCGGTCGGTGCAGTTATAACGACGATATATCCTTCAAAAGCCCGGGTTAGTGGTGTGGTTCAGCGCTCAAGTTAGTGACGAACCAATGATTGCCACAACAGCCGAGCCGATGATGAAAGGAGCTCGTCGGTCGTACCGAGATGATAACCAAACAATGAACCAGATCGAGAGACTAGCCAACGCATTCGGAGGGACTGTCAATCTAATGGAAACAATCAACTTCTGGTGTGCATTCACGAAGATGATAGACGAACAACTGGGCTTGCCAGCTTGTGAATCCTAGTCCGGCAATGATGCTGGGCTGCAAAAAATGACATTGAGAGAACAGTCGTGCAAGAAAACAGACATACCAAGAATAGACTGAGCGAGTATAACACAAAAGCGAATCCATGGAACAACAGGGCGTATCCCCAAACGAACTTGTCCTTGAACGCTTGGAAAACAAATGCCCATTCGAATGTTTCTGATTTATCCGCATCCGAATCGGTCTTGAGGCGACTGAGAAGGCGCGCCCTTTCCTCGTCTGTTAGCTGTGGAAGAAGATCATCGAGCCAGGACTTCAAACGTGCGATGCCAACGTACGAATTTCGCCTCGTGTGCCCAGGTCGGGACGATGAAATAGGCGGCACTGTAGCGAATCAGTCGTGGATTGGATCCTCGTCGAGGAAAGCGACTCACAGCGAGACCGCAACGGTGATAACCTTCGCCATCGATCAACGTGAATATCGTACAGAAAATGATAGTCTTACCCCTTCAATAATGAAGATCCACTGCCAACCTGGACGGCCTCCGACACCCTTCATCTTTCCTAGTCCGTACGCCAGGATTCCTGACAAACGTTCTGCCCAAACAGGCTATCCCGACACAAAAGTCACGTACCACCAAAAGCACCAGCAAGGGACGACCCGCCGAAGAAGACGGCCACGCGCCAGCTTCGTTCACGTCTGGATCATGATAAGCACAACCGGGGACGCAACAGTCCAGAAGGACGCACCGACGGTAGTAGACTGAGAAGAGATATATGACGCCCGGAAACAGGCCTGCCTCTGTGACACCAAGCACTTCGGGTCGTTTAAGCACCACGACACACGATAGCGAACGAAGCGAACGAACAGAATCGGATGCCGAACAATCCCGCCTGATTCTTCACCAGCCCCTGGCAGATGCTGACGACACCCCAAGTCAGAGTCAGGGTCGGAAGCCAGAGTTTGGGGTTGAAGCGCTTGAGACTACACAGAGTGAGTCCTTCCTCAGGATCGGCGAGAAAAGTAAACAGACATAATCTAGTAGGGGAATGTTCCTTAGGTTCGAACGACTCCTGCACACACTGCACTTACATTGGCAGGGACCTCGAAGATGACATAGGCAACAAAGTAGAGCGCGAGAGCTGTGTTGTAGTGCTGGAGTTCTGTTAGAACCAGAGATACTCTTGGGACCAGACTTTTACGGGCGCGGGCACATGCAGATCCTTAGTGGTTTGAGCACTTGCTTCTAGTCGGCGCAGAAGAGACGCACCGCAGTTAGACCTAAAAGCCTAGGCAAGAGTGTCTCGACATGCTATTCGCCTTGAATCAATCTCACTGGACTCACTTCGCATTGCCGATATTGGACCTGCACAAGAAGTCAGTCGCGCGTCGTCATTGCATGGGCAGCCGAACCGGTCCAGGAAACTCAAAAGATATAGAAGAGTCAAGATCGGGACGATACTAAGCGCACGTGAGTGAGATGATAAGATAACAGGTCTGAGTACGCACCGAAAGTCAATCTTCCGGACCAATTTTCGATCGAGCTCGGCCTGGTGGCGCTCACTTTCATGCGCAGTTGACGGCATATCTAATGCGGGTTCGGGATCTTTCTTGGGCAATCCGTCATTTGAACGACTGAACGATGAGCACCTTTATGGGAAATTGGCGTATACGGTGATATTGTCGCCATTGATGACTCGATTGCGTGCTTTTCCATAATATAGCCTGAGAGCAGTCTCAGGGTTGACAGTGAGATAAGGATCGGACATGGAATAGCCGTGCGCTTGTATTGCGAACGAAAACGCTGTGGTGACGGTTTGGATGCTGATGAGTCGATACAGGGGACTTCTCCTGATTTGGAAGGGTCACGTGTACAGACATCACCCTACTGCCGACGCTACTCAGTACTCGCCAGCATGGAGGCATTGCTCTTCAATGTATGCACGCGTAACCCCTCGTGAACCTGCGTGTAATAAAACTCTTACGACAGGTGGATACTGGATTTCTCGAAGGGATTCTGAGGGGCTACAAGTCGGGCATTCTCACCCAGAATCAATATGCCAACCTCACGCAATGCGAGAGCCTTGAGGGTACGCCGATCTGCTCTGTCGCTCCATTCACTGCTATAAACGAGTTTTAGACTTCCGGACGCAGCTATCCGCCACTGACTACGGAAATTTCCTTGCCAATGAACCCCTACCCATCTCGACCTCCACTATTGCAGACAAGGCAACGCAGATCCTGGTCGACCAATTCAACTACATACGGAGCAATGCCGTCGCGCCGCTGAGCAAGTTTCTCGACTATATCACGTACGTCTGACATACCGAGGCTCGGCGTTGGCGAACTCACTGCGCACAGCTACGGATACATGATCGACAACATCGTTCTCTTGATTACGGGGACCCTCCACGAACGCGACACGCACGAGCTGCTTGACCGTTGCCATCCTCTGGGCGTCTTCGACACCATGCCTGCGCTATGTGTGGCCACGAACGTCGAGGAGTTGTACCAGACTGTGCTGGTGGAAACACCTCTCGGTGCGTTCCCAGTCCCACTGCTGAGGCCATATATGAATCTGGGTATCAGCACCGTATTTCCGAGACTGCCTTGCAGCATCTGACCTGGACGACCTCAACATTGAAATCATCCGCAACACGGTGTACAAGGCGTACTTGGAGGACTTTTATCAGTTCTGTTCCACCGTTGGTTCTCCCACCTCTGAGGTGATGCACAAAATCCTCGACTTCGAAGCGGACAGGCGGACGGTCAACATCACGATCAACTCGTTCAACACAGAGCTCTCGAAGGAACAACGCGCGAAGCTGTTCCCAGCCATCGGGCGGCTGTTCCCAGAGGGCAACAACCAGCTGGCCAAGGCGGACGACATGGATCAGGTCCGGGCCGTGTGCGAGAACGTGTCGGAGTACCGGTCGTTCTTCATTGATTCGTCTTCGAGTGGGGGCGGGTCCGGTGGCGACAGCGATGATCTGGGCGCCGCAGCGCAGCTGGAGGACCGATTCTTCCAAACCGAAGTCCATCTCAACAAACTGGCGTTCCTGCAGCAGTTCCAGTACGGCGTGTTCTACAGCTACATGAAGCTGAAGGAGCAGGAGATTCGGAATCTGACCTGGATCGCTGAGTGTATCGCACAGGATGCTCGCGACAGAATCCAGGACTTCATACCCATATTCTGAACGTCTCCCCGATACACTACGTAGCCACTATGTTAATTGTTGATATGATCAAGGACAGAAGCCACCCTACATGTTATTCGGAATCCATCCTCGGCGCCGGTACTCTCCTGATACATAGTTTCGGTAGTTCCTATTCGACGGAACAGTGTCGGATCGTCATAGATCAGTGTCCGACAAGGTCCTGGGATCCCGAGCTATCCCGAGCAGCAGCACCCGGCAATCCGATGAAATTGACGCCGGCCGCTTGGATGTGCCTGTCCTGATAGGTTCATTCAAATCAGGGTGAAAGGAGGTCGCGATTCAGCTGAACGTGTAGGTCGCTGTCGATGTGGAATGAGGGCAAACGGGAAGGAAGATCTGAAGATTCATGGATACCGTGTGCTAGATGTATACGAGCGGGTGCACTGTGATGAGAGTTCAGAAGAGGAAAAGGAGGGACTCCCCCGGTGGCCTTGTAAAAGTCCGCTGCAAGACTGCCGTCGTATGGGGCCCGGCAGTATAGAGCACCGCGAATCCCAACGGACGTTTTACCTTCAGTCATTCCAATCGCGATGCGTTCAAATTTAGACCCTCTACTCGGACACCTCGTATCTTGCGGGATAACACATGTCTGAACAGCCATGGAAACAGTTCTTGATACGCCGACGCGGGAGTTCATCGGGTCGCAATTTCGGAGACAAGGCGAGGGTCATGACGGAACAGTCGGAACAGAGAGGATACTGGTGTCTCATTTGGTTCCACCCGATGGACACTGGGACAAGCTCAGGTCTAGGTTTGGTCCCGAGGGTCCGAGGGCCGAGTCTACGCGAGTGTTACGGATCAATCCGTTGACCTGCCGACCAGCACACGGAACGCCACCGTTTCGAGGGACGTCATAATTTTTTTTCCAACTCGCCTGCGCAGCTTCTCTGCACCTACGCGTGCCGTTATGCGAGAAAACGCGACCTGGTGTACGGCAATTTCCCCGCCGCGTGGTGGCTTAGAAAGACGGTCCACGTACTGTACAGTAGGTCCGACTCTCACTGGCAGTTGCTTCAAACTCGCCTGCAACTTGCCTCCGCTTTCGGAATCAATGATATGTCAGATTCCTTGCAGTCATCATCGGGGGCCCACCCATCCAGCTTCAGCACATTCTTGGTCTACCATTTCAAGCTGCCGGGAAACGGAAAACACTGAAGAATGAGTCTCACTCGAAGCTTCGCTCTGGTCTGTGTCGAGAAGTATCTAGTCAGGCTGGCAATGAGCTGCGTTTCTTGCCGAGCCATGCATTGATCTCAAAGTTTGGGGCGAGAGTATGAGGCGAGAATTGAGTGGACTTGGTGTGCATTGAAGATGACATTTCTTTGAAAGGTCGCGTAAGTTTTTACCAGTTATATATGATAAGGCACGCGTTGTTTGGCCCCCCCAACCTTTCTTCCTTCCACCATGCCCCTCCCGCATAGATCCCGTGCCCTCTCCGTAGCACTAGTGGCTGCTGCAAGGGGCAAACCCGCCCCCCTGCTCGACCTTCCCACCGAGCTCAGTCTGGAGATTGTAGAGCTCAGCCTGCTCGAGACCCATTTCAACACTCTGGCCGCGGTGTCGCAGGCGTTCAATGCGCTTGTGTCCTTCTTGCTGTACCGCCGGGTCCGGCTCGATACCGCCGAGCAGCTGCAGCGCTTCCACGCGACGACGCGGACCAAGTCGCGCGAGTTTCTGGAAAGCCACGTCAAAGCGCTAGTGGTCACCGTCCCCCAGTCCTGCCTGACGCCAACACTTCGGATGCAGCTCGCGCAGATCTTGACCTCGTGCTGCGGGCTGCGGGCGGTCTTTGTTACGCGACCGGGGGCACTGGCGCAGTCTGGGATGCCGAGCTGTATTACCGAATGCTGCATCCGACGGTACGATCCTGTGGCCTGGACGCACGCTGGGACGGCGTTTGCACAGAGCGTGACGCATGTGCGCACAGCCGAGCCTGGGGAGGTCTGGGCGTCGCCGCTGTCGATCATGTCCCATTTTGGATGGCCGCCGCGCATCACGCACTTTGCGCTCGCCCGGCGGGCAGATGCGAACGAAGAGAATGATGCGGTGTTTGCGGAGGAGGTGGCCGCTATCCTCGTCGAGCGCCCCGCGCTGAAGATGCTTGTTGTGTCGATCTTTCCGTCGCACTGGCCGCGACGCTCGAATCAGCCAGGTTGTGTGGAAGACAGCTCGATCTGGAAAACGCTGTCGCTGATATCGGATCGTGATTCCCGGCTGGTGGTCCAAGCTTCGGACACCAATAGAACGGCGGAGGCATGGCTGGATGCCCCGGGTGTAGATGGTTTCTGGCAGCGCGCTTATAGAGCCGGTAGAACAGATGTAGACTGATTCTCGTACGCTATTTCCTTATAGAGCTTTAGGGTGTTGAGCACGATGCATTATGTGGCGGTGCGCCATCGCCGGTCTTCTCCACCCATGGCAGCGTGTTTGAGATATACTCGACGTGTGCGGTATTTGCGCGCACTTGATTCTTCCGCTGACTCGTGTCTGGTGCAGGTCTGGAAGTCCTTCCTGGACAATAAAGGCACGCGTTCCGAGGATTGACTGACAGGAGGACTTACATTCGTCAAGGGCACGATACGCAGTGTTTCCCGAATGTGAATTGTTCCCTTTCCCGCCGATGCCTCTATCTGACTGGTGGAACGCAGCTTCAGATTCTGAATGCTACTCCGGGGCTGGTGAACGCGTCTTTGAAAGTGGAGCCATACAACTGTGCGAAATCATATGACCTGCTCGGTGCCATACTGAGTTTCTTCGCTGCGCAGTGAATCGGGTTGGGGTAAGTAAGCTCTTGTCAAGTGGGCCATGTGCAGAACACACTTAACTTTGATGCCCCAAGACAGGTTGTTTTTCTGTGTGGATCTCAGAGCTGCAGCGTGGCTGATTCCACGCGCACAGTGCACGGGGGGCTGATCCTCTCGCTGACCGACACTCTGGGCTCGCTGGCCGTCGCTAGCAAAGGCCAATTCATGGTACGCCGGACGTCGAAGCGCGGGCTTGCATTCATCCCTGCGTCTTCTGCTAGACGGGCGTCTCGACCGACATCGGATCTTCGTTCTGCCGGCCGGCTGGGCGCCCCGGAGACGTCCTGCACGCCAAAGCACAGCTGATCGCGATGGTAAGCAGGCTGCTTTGCGGTGTGCTTCGTAGGCAATCCAGTCGACCACCCCCAGGGCAAGCAACTGGCCTACACCCGGGTGGAGTTTACAAATCCAGAAGGCGTGCTGCTCGCTTATGGATGTAAGATTCTTGGCTCGTGTCTGGCGAGCGACGACGACGACTTGGCGCTGATTCCGTCACAGATCACACCAAGTATGTGGGCAAGTCCGGATCTCATCCTGTAAGCAGGCCATCTTGTAGCCCGTGCAGGAAAGCTACAATTCACGCAGAACAACGTGTCCTTCACGGAGGATGGCGAGCGTGTCGTCGACGGCGAAGACTTGGATGTGGATTAAGCAGTAGACATTATCATCATTCTACGTACGTAGTAGACCAGCGTGAAATTACAAGTACAGTTGGGAGATGTGCAACGGGGACTTATGCGAATAATAAGATGCGGAAAGATGGCAGCAGCTGCGATATATTGCGACGACAGATGAAGGAGAACAGCACAGCATTCACAGCTTGAGTTCAGTCAAAACGCGGCGGGCGAGCATTTGATACTGCCAGCCATCACCGCCAGCTCGTCTGAACTGGATCCCGTGTAGAGGAATCAGGGGCACCTACACATACCGTGGTAAGCTGGCCGTCATAGAGAGCAGTCTGGAAAGATACACACCTTGACTACATTGATCTCGAAGCGGACGCTGGCAGAGTCGTGCGCGGCCATCGACTCGAGTACCTCCCGATTGATTTCTCCAGTCGAGCCCAGTGTAGTCGGACTGACAGGCCCCGGCACGAAATCAGACGGTATGGCTCGCAGATGGGACTCGAAAGAGAAAGCCGACGATGGCACCTGGCCATCCGTTGTGGCATTCGTGGCTAGGGAAGCACGCCCGCCAAGCTCGTCGGGGATGACCAGAGATTGATGGTCGTTGGATGGATAGAGAATGGTGCTCAGCGGCCGAGGGACATTGCGTCGTTTGAGAGAGGGAAAGTCGCGGTCTTGGCTCTTGACCCGTCGCACGCTGAAGGAGAGCTTGGACACCCGCTTGGACAGTCCACGACGCGATTGTGTTGGCGCGGGACTTTGATCGCCTGAAGACGGGAATTCGTGCTGCTGTTGCGAGTCCGACGCTTGAGTAGTGGGCGAGTTGAGAGTGGATGGGGCGCTGGGAAGAGATATGCACTCGAAACCGGTCTTGCTTTGCCAGTATCGAACTTGCATGCCATCCAGCACGCGCCGGATGTCTGCCTTGATCACCGGAGCCGGTTTCGTCGATGTGGTTGACACGCTGTGGGAATCAGTATCTGCCACAAACGTTGGTCAGTGCGCGGACTCTTACCTGAACAGCCCTTTCAAGTACACGGGCTTGGCTTCCCTCTCCACGGTTTCGTCTCTTTGCCCATCCAGGTCGGCCTGCTCCTCCTCCCATCCGGCTTCCGGCACGGTCCCCGGAACCTGTCGCTTCTTGGGCATCGTAGCACTCTCGTATCCAATGACCGAGCTCCGACGATTCCTCCCGACGGTCGCGATTCCGCCAAGAGCACTATCGCGCAAGGTGCTGCCCTCCCCAAACGCGGTGCTCCGCCGGCGTTCGTGGCTCGTGCGGCGGTCGAGAATCGTTGTGGCGCGTCGCCGGACGCTTCCAGATGTCTGGGGCCCGCTGCTGTTCTCCTTGTCGTTCTCGGCTTGAACGGGGAATGCAGGCTCGGGAGGGAATTCAGTAGCGGGAGTGGTGACCGCTGGCGCGTTCTCGACCGGCTTGGGAACGATAGACGTGCCGGTAAAAAGAACACTGGTCCTCTTCGACTCTTTTCTCCTCCTCCTCCGGGTAGCGGTCGGGCTGACGGGCTGCTCCTGCTCCTTGTCGTCGGAATACACCTCGTCGTGCCGGACCGAGCCCAAAAAGATGCTTCCGAACCGACGCAATAGGCCTCCCTTCTCTTTCTCTGACGAAGGCTTCTCGTGCTTCTCCGCCGGCAGCGAGGCTTGAACGGTTGTATCAGTCGATTCTTTTTCGTGGGCGGGCGCTGTTTGCTCTTGTGTAGGCTGAGTCTGTTCTGGCTCAACCTGTCCCGACATATGTTCAGGCACAGGCTGTTCCGGCTCAGATTTAGGCTGCGCCGGAGCAGATTCAGGCTGTTGTATCACAGGCTCGTGCGGCGCAGGTTCAGACAATGCAGGAGCAGGAACAGGAGCAGCAGCGTTTGTCTCGAGAACTGGCTCTGAAGTCTGAGCGACGCTGTGATCATGCCCATCCATAGCAGATGCTTCCGATGCGGGTTCTGCGGCTTCAACCGCTGCCGGACTGGAAGTCAGCCAGACGGCCGAATCGGTGCGAACCGGAGCTTCGGGCCGAGCGACCGGCACGATTTCAGGTTCGACCACTTGCGGGGGCTCTTCAGGTGGCGCTGGCGGGTCAGCCACAAGGCGGCTGATCTCTTGCTTTTCGACCATAGGAGCCTCGAAAACTTCATGATGGATGATTTGCTCCGCGCGGCTGGATTCCCGGGCGATCTTCTCTTGCGCGAGGAAGTAGATGCTGATCAAGGGATGGAAACCCATCGTCGGATCGGGCGGACAAGGCTGCGGGGTGGCTGTCGAGCCCGAAGCTGTTGTTGAACTTGAGGCCGAAGGGGCGAACAGTCGGCGATAGAAGTCGAATCCGCTGAACCTCCGGCGCTTCGCGTCAGTGGGCGACGCGGGCGGCTCTGTGTCTTCGGCCGCCGGCTCCAGTGCTTTGAGGGCCTCCTTCTCCTTCCGTTCGTTGTAGAATTTCACGGCTGCGGCGTATGCGTCGCTCTCGAGAACATCACGTAGCTTTTCGACGACTTCCTCGACATCTCTCCCGAACTCGAATCCAGCCATCCGAGCAACGACCTCAGGGTCAATGTCTTCGGCACGGAGTGGCACCCGGGTTGGGAGATGCGTTTCGGGCGGCGCAGAGTATGGTGCTCGGAGGAACCAGGGGTGCGACATGATCTCAGTGAGAAGAGCTCGTTTTGCAGGAACGGTGACGAGCATGCGAGACAGCAGGTGCTTGCATTCTAGCATCCAGTCAGAGCCGACAAAAGAGGAAGAGCGGAGGAGGGGCATGCGGACCTGGACTAAGCCACACTGGATATTCGGCCAACCCTCGCTTAATCTTGGCATGTAGCGCAGGCATACTCTCATCCTCGAACGGCACCTTGCCGCATACCAAGGTGTAGAGTACGACCCCGAACGACCAGATGTCCACCTCCGGACCCGTATAGAGCTTCGCGTTCAACAGCTCCGGAGCCGCAAAATATAGACTGCCGCAGAATGTAGATAGATGTGAGGCAGGGTCGTACAGATTCGACAATCCAAAGTCGATAATCTTAATGTCGCCCCGGTGGTCAATCAAGATGTTCTCGATCTTGAGGTCCCGATGCACAACGTTGTTTGCATGGCAGTACGCAAGCGCCGAGGCTATTTGACGCGCGAATTTCCGGGCAATGGATTCTCGCAGCCGACCGTGGGATATGATGAAGTCGAGGAGCTGGCCGCCGTTGACGTACTCGAAGACCATGTAGTAGTGGTTTGGGTGGACTATGAGCTCGTACATGGCGCAGACGTGCGGGTGGTGCAGCAGAAGTGAAAGGCCTGCTTCCCGTAGTGTGCGCACTTCCCTGCTTGCGTCCTTGCTGGCTTCTTTGGGAGTTTGGGGGGAGGAGTTTCGAGCCCGGGGCAAAATTTTGACGGCGTACTGCGCAAGCTGTGAGCACGCGGCTCTCTGGGATGTGTGCAGAGGACGGGACAGAGACGTACAAGTTCCCCGGTAACATTGTGCGTCGCCAGCTTGACCTTTCCCATCGACCCTGCGCCAAGTGTCTTGCTGAGGGTGTAATCCCCCAAAATACGGTTTGTTCTCTTCGACCGGTGTCGCGGAGGCGGTATTTCCGCCACATCGTACTGGTGCGAGGAACTCATCGTCAAGGACGTCAGGTCAAGAAGTTACTGCGGAAGCAAGAAGGAGGCAAGATGAGGGGTATACTGTGGGTATCGTTACCGAGCTGGACTTGTCACCAGCGCGAAGGAGAAGGGGCGCATGCCGGCGGCGGGCTGTGTCTGATGACTTTTCTGATCATCTCTGTCTCGAAGCGAAGACAGCCGTGGCAATCATGATCCCATCTTTCTTTCCGCTTGTATTTCCTGTCTTTTGACTCTTTTCCTTCTGCGTTGCTTACTTCTCTTCCTTTCCGTCTTCAAGCTCAACTCTCCAGGCTCGTGGCCCAACATCCAACATTCACACGGAACGGAGCACGGAACCAAGAGTCTCGTGGCGGATCATGAACCCCACTTGGCCATCAAAGCTTCTGGTGGCTTGACGTCTACTAACGCTCAAAAGACATGCATCCTTAGATCCACCTCGTGATAAGGTTGCACCCCGACTACCGATGACTGAGTGAACGCAATCGGTACTTACATCACTTGGATCCGGTTTTTAATAGCTGCGGGCGCCCTGAACGTTCAAGCTTTCAGGCTTCAGGCTCAGGAATCAGTCCATCCTGTCGCGCGCTGAGAATCCTGCAATCGAACCTTCATATCACGGTCGTAGCCTGGACGACTCCGTGAGCATGAGAAAGAAGTGTCGTATGCAACGAGATCGGAGCTGGTGCTGTGAGCTTAATAGAATAGAGCTCGGTGCTGTCTAGTGCTGTTAGATCTCTTGGTCATCTATCGTCCTTCGAACAATGGCAAGTCGAGCATTGCCGAGCCCAAATGCAACTGGAACCGCATCTGCGGCCCGTTAATCCGAAGGTCGTGTGTGCTTGTGTATCTCTCACGTGAGTGATTAAACGCGTTGGTCACAAAGCCGTGACACGACCCGACATCCACCAATTGCTACTTACATCCTCTCCATCTCTCCATGCAAGTCCAGTGATCTGACCGTAAAGCATTTCAAACGCGCTCGTGAGTCCACCTTTGACAAAATCCCCTATCCTTGGCTGTGGCCTAAATGCCTCGGAAGCCTCCCTTGCCCACAACGCGTAGCTTGCTACACGTTCTGCACGCGACGCGATGCCACCTCCTACGCGTACCGCTGCCGAGGAAGCAGAATTCATGAAATCTCTAATGTCTGAGATGGACATGGACGACTCGTTCTATAACGTCACTCTCACCCCCGACCCTACCCCAATAAAACCCAAACTTCAATCCGACGCGTCCCAATCCCAACGCAGGTTCGAGTTACCCAACGCCATCGCTAGCACGTCAAAAACTGTCTTCCCGAGAGCGCTACCCGCCCCAGCACCCGTGACACCTACGAGGAAATCTAAATCCGACGCGACGGTCGGGAAGAAAGTCCTGAGCCCGAGAGAGGTGGATATGGAGGCGCTTCTCGACGGCGCAGAAGACTGGGACTGGTCAGATATGAATGCAGACTTCAATTCGCCAGTGAAAAAGAAAGCGGCAGTACCTTTGGTCCGTCGTCATTTCCGACAGGAATGTGTTCCCACTGATATCACTTGTAGCCTCCGTCACCTAAGTATACATCCCCCACACATCTTCGTTGCAACGTGTTCGTGGTGTCTGAGCCGGTTGTAGTCAGAGGGAAGCGAGAAAAGGCGCGTTTTCTGGGGTTCTCTGACATCGTATTCCAACCGCCATTTCAGCATCTTACTGTGGATATTGGGGGTGGGCGAGCACATGTCGCTGTGATTCTACACGATGATTGGGCAGCGACAGATGTAAGAACAGGTGAGCCGTCTCAAGTATGTTGAAACCCCATTGAACGCATTACAGGCGATACCGTCAACATTGTAGGCACGCTGGATGCCAACAATCCCCCTAGCTCAATCGAGGTCACATCTGCTCGGAACTTCATCGTAACTCATCCCGACCTCCTGCTGACGCCGTCAACGCTCGCCAACGCGCTCGAATGTCGGCGCAAACCCCTACTCTCGACTCTGATCCGTTCGACATCAGATATTACCCCGGCTTTGGTGTGGGGTAATATTCTCCACGAGGTGATGCAAACCTGCCTCAGCTCAGGACGCTGGGATGATTCGTATGTGGAGACCACGACGGAAGAGGCCGTGCGAGAGAAGATTGGAGATATCGCGAAGATCGACATGAGCGTCGAGGATGCACTGAGAGAGATCAAATTCCGAGCAAAGGGCTTGCATGCGTTTGGAGAGAAGTACATCTCTGAGAAACCCCAGGTGACTCCCTCGACTTTCCCCAAACTCAACGTCTGAGACGCGCACAGGGAGTCATGGTGAACACTCGCAGCAAAGCCGACGAAACACTGCGTCTCGGTATCCCGCAGCTGCTTGACATTGAAGAGGACATTTGGTCTCCCATGTGGGGACTGAAAGGCAAGATTGATGCTAGCGTGCTTGCGGTGGTCGAGCACACCGAGAGCCGAAATGCTCCGCTGAACATCTCCGCTGGTCCGACACCACTGGAAATCAAGACTGGCCGGCCGGTGGCTGGGCTAGAACATCGTGCTCAGACGATGCTGTACACGCTTTTGACCGAGGAGCGCTACGGTGCGGAGGTATCATCAGGCTTGCTGTTCTACACTCAGAGCGAAGAGGTCGTGCAGGTGACAGCCACTCGGACAGACGTTAGAGGACTCGTTGGATTGCGGAACGAGATGGCTTCCTTCATGTCTCGGAGGCAACTCGGCGCTGACGAGCGCTTCCTTCCGCCCACCATCGACAACGAGAGGGCGTGCAAGCGGTGCTTCAATCTCGATGCTTGCATGCTCTATCGTAAGGCCGTAGAGGATGTTGTCGATACGACATCGCCCATCGCCGACATCTATGAACAGAAGGCCGGCCACATTACCCCGCATCAGGCCAGCTTTTTCAAGAAGTGGGAGGCTCTGCTGTCTATGGAGGAACTGGACGCCATCAGGCTGAAGAAAGAGCTGTGGACTCTGGGAGCAGAAGAACGAGAAGCAAAGGGCCGTTGCTTCAGTTCGATGCAAATGGACTCGTCCTATAAGCCAGAGACTGTCAGGAGCAAGATCCACAAGTTCACATACAAGCTCACGTGCGATGGCACTAAGAGCAAGTCTCTTCTGGAAGGCTATATCAATGTCGGGGACCCCATCACTGTTTCGGTGGAACCTAATCTGCTGGCCCTGGCGAGAGGATATGTTCTCGAGCTGAACGAGACGTCGGTGGTTGTTGGCGTGGACCACGAGCTGTCGCTCGAGGCTATATCTACCCGGCTCACTCGATTTCGCAATACCGCATCTGTCCAAACACCCGTCTTCCGCGTCGACAAGGACGAGCTGTCGAGTGGAATGGGCCGCATGCGCGACAATTTGGCACATCTCTTCTACTCCGATGGCGATGTCCGGCGGCTGCAGTTGATCGTGGATCTGCAGACACCCCGCTTCTCCGAGATCGCGGCAGCGCTTCCAGCGCATCTGAACAAACACTGGAAGCATCTCAACGCGAACCAGCAGATGGCGATCCAGCGCGTCCTCGCTGCAGACGATTATGCGCTCATTCTGGGGATGCCGGGAACTGGGAAGACGACGGTGATTGCCGCATTGATCAGGATACTTGTGGGCATTGGCAAGACCGTTCTGCTATCCTCCTACACGCATTCGGCGGTAGACAACATTGTGCTCAAACTCAAAGGCAATGTGGATTTTGGCATACTGCGAATCGGCAACGAGGATAAGGTCTGTGCACGTCATAGGAATGCAGTGTTTTGGCTGAGCGGAGTGGCCAGGTGCATCCAGACGCCAGAGAATTCACATTAGCGTCACGGCGGACTCCGACGACAGTGGAACAGCTGGAGCACCAGATCATGACACCCCCTGTTGTTGCTACGACATGTCTTTCAGTCGACCAGTAGGTGTTGGTTGATACTGTGTGTGACATGTTTCGCTGACCGTCTATCAGTGCTCTGTTTTCTCGCCGCAAATTCGATTACTGCATCGTCGATGAGGCGTCGCAGATTACACTTCCGACATGTCTAGGGCCGCTTCGCTTTGCGGAAAAGTTTGTGCTGGTCGGCGACCACCATCAGCTGCCGCCTCTCGTGAAAAACCCGCAAGCAAGAAAAGGCGGACTGGACGTCTCGCTCTTCCGGCGTCTATCGGAAGGCCATCCGGAAGCAGTGATCAACATGGCTCACCAGTACCGCATGAACGAAGACATCATGACTGTGTCGAATCGACTGGTGTACAAGGACCAGCTACAGTGCGGGTCGGAGGAAGTCGCCAAGCGCTCTTTGTCGCTGCCCAATCGCCACTTTTTGGATGGGCTGCATGCTGAAAAGCCGTGTCACAGTCAAGGATGCTGGCTCGAGCGACTGTTGGACGAAAGGTGAGTGCTCCTACAATGCCAGATCTCTGTTCTCAGCCCGGCTTCAGTTGCAAAGCGGTTTTTGTCGACACGGATCTGGTTCCTGCCCACGACTCGCGTGTCGGGGACCTCGTCCAGAATCCAGTTGAAGCCCAGCTGGTGCATCAAACGGTCGAAGCGCTCCTGCGCAGCGGGGTTCCAGCAGAAGAGATCGGACTGATTTCGGTCTACCGCCAGCAGCTGAAGCTCCTCGGAAGCCTTCTGTCAGACAGAAAAGAACTGGAGTTCTTGACTGCAGACCGGAGTCAGGGCCGAGACAAAGACTGCATTGTTATCTCCATGGTGCGCTCAAACGACACGGGCTACGTCGGCGACCTCATCAGAGACTGGCGGCGGATGAATGTCTCGTTTACACGCGCGCGGTCGAAGTTGATCATCTTTGGGTCCCGCAGGACATTGCAGTCCACCCCCTTGTTGAAAGAGTTCTTCTGTCTCATGGAGGCGAAGGAGTGGATCTTGACCTTGCCGGAGAACGCCGCGACTTTCCACACCTGGGCGTTCGGATCGGTGACGGCCACGAAGCGCACTGCTGAGGTACCGCTGGCGAAGGAGAACCCTTCTTTTGAGCGATCGCCAAAACGAATGAAAATCAAGGATGCGACGTTGAGGGGCCGCCCTATTTTGAAGGATCTGATGAACGAGGCTGCAGGATTTGATTAACCATATAAATATTTAATATCAATCCGACTGGAGTCCTACATTCTACTACATTTTCTCCTTGAACATCCTCGAAGTTCTTTGTGGTGTATCAATGCTCGAAGGAAACTATCGGATAGGCAGTCTCAGAGACGCAAGGATTCGTGAAACTCATATAACACAGTTCTTGGATGTTCCCTATACTCTGTCGAATAGGGTAGCGGGTTTCAGGTCTAGGATTCCTAGAGAAGCATTCAGGCGCATGCCGCCCCAATACGAGCGCAGTCACGAGATGAGCAGTGTGGCCTGCGCTATTTGATCATCATGTGATCACTAACGCACGATCACGTGTCAACCATCGACCTTGGTTGAGTTTCCAACGTGCCAAGATCAGTCTCCCCAACATGTCCGCAACGCCTTCAACGAAACGGGCGCCCTTTACGCCCCGCACGACACGCGTCCCTCGCACGACCAGCGCTGATCTGAATGAACTATCATCGAGACAACCTCGCGCTACCGCACCGTCCGTCGTCCTCCCTGCCACGAAGAAGTACAAGGCACCACTGTCCTCGGGGGCACGGTCCCGCTCGAAGGGGCCTATTCTACCTACAGTACCCGGGAGCCCTACGAAGTCTCGACCTCCTTCTCGCGCGGGATCCGCGATGGGTGGTTCGAGCCCTGCCCTCGCTCCGCTCTTCCCCAACACAACGTGGAAGATTCCGTCGTCGACTTCCAAACGGTGGGGATAGATTTGACGGGAGATGCGCTGGCAGGAGACCTGAGCAGTATGTCGATTGCTGCAGCGGATGTGGCCGTCGATAAGGTTATGGTTTCTGTTCGGTGAGTCAAGCTTCCTTCTCCTGCCCGGTCTGTGCTGAGATTCTCTTCAAGCGTCCGTCCAGGCAGCAACTCGGGCCCGAGGGTATGGGCCATCTCGGACGATGATACGATTCAACCCTCTGGGGAACACGGCTCCGCCGCACCGACGCCGGCCAACCGATTCACGTTCGACACGATCCACACGACGATACCGACAGCACCATTGTACACCACGGCGGCCCGACCGCACGTGCACGCATTCATGTCAGGCTACAACGCGGTGGTCTTCGCCTATGGACAGACTGCGTCCGGGAAGACGTATACACTAACTGGAACGCCCGAGGAACCGGGGATCATACCCCGCGCACTGCGCGATGTGTTTGCCTTCATCAGAGCTACGCCGACACGAGAATACCTCCTGCGGTGCAGCTATCTGGAGATATACAACGAGACTATCTATGATTTGTTGGCGCCCGCTGCTGCGCAGAAGGGCGTTGAGATCCAGGGCAGCGCGGCTGGAGGGGAGATTATTCTTGCGGGGCTCCGTGAGGAAGTTGTCACGAGTTTGGCGAACGTCAAAGACGTGCTGAAACGTGGCGAGGCCAACCGGCGGACTGCGAGCACGGATTGGAATGAGCGGAGTAGCCGAAGTCACTCGGTGTTCCGTGTGGTGTGTGAGAGTCGGGAGCGTGGAGGGTCCAGGGATCACACAGAAGACGATGGGGTGAGCAATGGACGACATACACCTGGTCTCAGTGGTCGCAGCACTCCTGGACTGGGGGGACCTCGACTGCAGGCCAAAGGTGGAAGGAGCGTCCAAAGCTCGGTGCTGGTAAGCTTCATGCAGTGGAGGATGTCACTTCGCTGGCTGACCTGAACACAGAGCTTGATTGATCTTGCTGGCTCTGAGCGAGCGACATCGGACAAAGACAGGACAAGAGAGGGGCGCTATATCAATACCAGGTCCGTAGATTTGAGAAACTGCATCAGAGGGCTTATGACGGCTCCAGTTTGCTCACTCTGGGAACCGTCATCTCCACGTTGGCTGAGAATGGGGCCAAGGGGAAGCAGTAAGTCGATCCCTTGCACTCGACTCATCCCGGGCTGAATCGTTGCAGCGACCATGTGCCATACCGCAACTCGAAACTGACTCGGATGCTCCAACCATCGTTGTCTGGGAACGCTCGAATTAGTGTGGTTTGCACCATCAACCCTGATTCGAATGCCGTGACAGAGACCATGAGCACGCTGCAATTTGCTCGGAGGATCAAGGGAGTGCAGCTCAACGCGCAAAAGAAGGAGATTGTGGACACGGATGCGCTGATTGAGAAATACCGGAAGGAAATCGAAGATCTGAAGCGCAGATTGGAGGAACGTGAAGAAGAGGCCAGCAGGGACGCACCTAGTTTGCGCACCAGGAGATTGTCTGCACGGGAGGTTCGTTGCCGCTTTGGTTTATTACTTCCCTGTGACTGACCCAGTGTGCAGCAAATCGATGAGTCCAAGGCCATGACGGACATGAACACACGAATCAAACAGCTCACCAAGCTGATCCTGACAAGTCAGACTGTGGGCAGTGGCGATGACTCTCGTCCAGCAAGCCCTGTGAAGGTTGACTTCGATATGTCGCCGTATCAGGTACTTCAGTCGGCACCTTATCGGAACAGGGCTGATCCATTTCCAGCTGCAACAAGAGTTACTGGCCGCACGACTTCAACTTGAAAGCCAATCCAACCAGATATTATCTCTCGAAGCCTCATTGGCCTTGACACGGACCGAGAATCCCGACGATGAGACCGAGGACAAAGACAGCATCATTGCCGAGCAGGCCAAACGTATCAAAGAACTGGAAGCCGCTATGCAATCACACGGAGAGCCGAGCGACAGGTTGGAGCGAGTGGAACAAGAATGGAGTGAAAAGCTGCAGAGAGTTGTGAAAGAGAAAGAGACATGGGCCAACGAACTTGTGCGCGAACTCGAAAAAGAGAAGAAGGTTGGTCTCTCCGTCCAGTCGCTTATGAGGGGCTGATCCAATGTCCGTTTCAGATGCGACAGCACTTGGAGGAGGAACGACGTGCGCTTGCTGCGTTTGTCACCAAATTCGACTCTTTGGGCCTGGGCATGTTGTCTGCAGCGGCTTCTCCCGTCAAGCCAAGTCCCGGAAAGGCTTCGGTAACATTTGCCAGTCGAAGGGAGGCACGCCACCAGTCCAGACAAGTGGATGAATTCGAGTCGCCGATGCGAATGTCCTTGGATCTTTCAAGTAAATTTGGGGCCCAGCCGAGTCTATTGGAGCAGATGCCCGAAGAAGAATGGGATGCGGCAGCAGATGCCAGTTTCGAGGTCGACAGTCATGCCACTTGGCCCGCTCGCGTTGGGAAAACCGTCTTGGTCGGTAGCGGACCAAGCTCGCCAGCTCGCATATTCGGTCTCAGTGCCAAGGAGAACGTGCCCACACAGAGCAACTAGTCGTCGTGTATATATTCGCTTTGCAAATTCGTAACATTTCTGCTTTCGCTGTTAGATGAGCTTCAGCCGCATGCTCCAAGGCCGTTCACATGCTGCGTGGCTGTGTGCGCATGGCCGACTCCGATTAGTGTCGTGTGCTTACATGAGGTCACGAGCTTGATTCTCTTCTCCACAGACCAGTTGAAACCTTTACACCCAAGTAATGTTGTGCATCGCCCGCCGCCGTTCAATCCCAACTACTATACTCCTCCGCTCTTTGACCACAGAAACTTACTCTACACCGGACGTCCCTCCCCCTCCTCCCCCAGCGCCGAAGCCCACCTCTAGATCTCGGTCCCGCCTGTACCCGACTCCGCGTCCAGCAGAGCCTCTTCCTTACTCCCCCTTACCCAATCTTCCGCCGACATTTGGCCGGAATCAGCTCCTCCCTGTCTCAAACTCTACGCGTGCATTATTGGAAAGCATCGTTGACAAGTTCGATGCCCCCATTCGATATGCGTTCGCGTATGGTTCCGGCGTGTTTGAACAGGACGGGTATCCGGTGAAGGGGTCACCGACAGAGGGCCCGATGCTTGACTTTATGTTTGCTGTGACGCACCCTGCGCACTTTCACTCGATCAACATGCATCAGCACCCCTCGCATTACACGTTGCATGCACGTCTACTGGGCTCATCGTATGTTTCAAGGGTGCAAGAAATTGGTCCAGGAGTGTGGTTCAATGCATATGTGCCGATGAATGGGGTGGTATGTCGGAGAGCTCCCTTCTTCTATCAAATGTTGACAGTCTGCTGCGTTAGACAATCAAGTACGGCGTGACGACAGTTGACAACCTCTGCTCTGACTTGCTGAACTGGCAATCGCTTTACCTCGCTGGTCGAATGCACAAGCCGTTGCGAATCATCAAGGACGATGCGCGTGTGCGATTGACCCAACAAGTCAATCTGACATCTGCTGTTCGAGCCGCACTGCTCACGCTGCCTGCGGAGTTCTCAGAGACCTTGCTATTCGAGCGCATAGCAGGAATCAGCTATATGGGTGATCCACGCATGCTCTTGCCAGCTGAGAACCGGAACAAAGTTGCCAACATCGTGAAGGCCCAGGGGCCCCAGTTCAAGGAGCTGTATCATCGTTTGGTCACCGGTCTTCCCGGTGTCCATTGGCCGATGTATCTCTCCACCATCAAACAGGACGTCAGCCCTCATGCTCGAGCTGCCCATCTCCGCAAGTTGCCTGCCAACTTGTTAGCTGGTGTGCGGAACAACTTCGATCGTCTTGGCGGAAACCCGTATGATGTTGACGAGAGTGCTTACTGGATTCGGTTGGCGAGTGACGAAAAGCTTCCTGCTACTCTTGGCCATGGTGTGCATCTCTCGTTCACACTGGCTATGTCATTCCTGATCGATAATAGAATTGAGGGAGATCGTACGCTCCCCAGCGACTGTACAGTCACTCAAGGGAGTCGTCAGTGCTGGCGTCGGGAAGAGTCTTCGGTACAGTGTGGCAAAAGTGGGCAAATGGTGGAGTAGCTCTTCGGCCAAGAAAGAGACATAGATTGGGGATGTGGAATAGATGGGATTAATCAAAGTGTAAACATCATATTTAGTGTAAATTCTACCATCGAGTGAAGGCTATAGTATCTCGAAGGCTAGTTACTTGAACTTCCCTTGTACTCTGCTGGGGCCGGTCCATGTGCTGTGCCTTACCGGTGAGTTGGTTGTCATGGAGATCAAGCGGGTCACGCCGAAGATCGACTTGAATCAACAATCGTTTGGTCAACATCTTCAAACCTTGTCAAGTTCCAAGTACCTCTGCTGGCTGTTGTGCTTTCCGTTCTGTTCTCTGCCCCTTCTATCCAGTGCTTCCTTCCCTCGCTGTTCTTATCTTGGGCCTAGTCCCTTGAACTCTTTGCTCTCTTCTCTCTGAGACTACCTGACATGTCTCAGGAAATGTACGAGACAGTGGAGGCGTCCCCTGCCACCAGCCGCACAGTCGCCATCATTAAGAATCATGCTCTCCGTCACCGGTTCGATATCGAAAAGCGTATACAGGAGGCAAGCTTCGAGGTAAGGTTTTGCTTTCCCGTGGCATCCCATCCTCTCATACAACGAACGCAGATCGTGAAAGAGCGCCAGATGGAGTTCGACGTCGAGACGGATCCTGAGACGTTGGAAGAGCTGTTTGGAGAGGACGCACTCTCTTTGGGGGAGGGTCCGGTATGGGTCTATGTCCTCGAACGCAGACGGGCGGTCGAAGTTTGGCAAACGCTGATGGGCCCTCGAGACCCCGAGGTGGCTCGAGAGGACGCTCCCAACTCTTTACGCGCTCTTTACGGCATGAGCCTCGTGTCGAATTGTCTCATGGGTTCCCCGGACGTACAGACTGCCGAAATTCAGATCGCTTCTCTTTTCGCCTCCTCGCCGCCCTTCCGGACCTCGGAGCTACCTGATGTCGACGGACAAGGGCAGTTCGACACTTTGGGCTCTGTCTCGTCGTCGGTGATGGATGCCCTCAGACGCACGGCCTCCGATGAAGGCTATGCGCCCTCCAATCCGTCCACGACGAGCCGGTCGGGGCCGGGTGGCAAGCTCCTCTTCAAAGCACGCCCTATTCCTGCCACTCATACCGCACCCGACATCGTCCCGAGAACAACCCGTGCTGCTTCTCTGCGCGCTGGAGTCGGTGTCGGCGATCGGAGCGGGCCTGCGGCACCGCGCGCACCGATCTCGAAAGAGCGGATGGCGCAGACCTTTGCCAACGTCCCAGGTCATAAACGCGCGGCGTCCATCGCGGTGGCATCAACGGCCGCGCCTGTGATTGCTCCTCGGATGACCCGGGCGGCAGCGCTGAGGCTGGGACTGCCTCCACCGGAGCCTGTCAGGAGGGCCTCTTCTGGAGGAACGCCCCAAGGCACATTTGAAGGGGTTGCAGGTCACAAACGTCGGGAGACTATTGCTGTTGCCTCGACCCAGGCCCCGGTTGTTGCGCCGCGACTGAACAAGAGTGCTGCTCTGAGAGCCAGCAAAGACCAGGCCCCGCCCTCATCGTTCCAATGTCAGTTCCCGGTGTCCTTTTCTGCGATCTTTGATCTGACATTGTAACAGTCCGCAGTCCTAGTCAACCGAAAGTCCCTGGACTTTCGCGCAGCAACTCGACGAGCTCTCTCTCAGGACGTCCTTCGCGTCCGTCTTCCGCTGCGTCGGTCGCCCCGCCGAGCCGGCCTCCTTCCGTTGCACGGGCGACGTCCGTGTCCCGGATCTCCGCTGTTCCGCCTCCCACTCTTTCCGCCCGCAACGGCTCTAGTACGCCCACTGCCGAAGTACCGTCACGTGCCAAGCCCAGACCAAGCAGCATTGGCGCTCCGACCATTGCCCCTCGGACCAATCGCAGCGCAGCGCTTCGGGCCGCCAAGAAGGAGATGGAAAACGCCGCGGCGTCCAGTGCTGCTGCTCGGAAAGGCTCCCGTCCTGCTCCCAGGCCCAGTGCCATCTCCACGTTTTGAATATTCTCTTATCTATCGGGAATTTGGAATCAACATTGCTACTTGGAAAGTGCCTATACTTACTCACCTACTGCAAAGCGCTAGACGCTATTGATTATGTCTTTCTTATTGTGTTTTTATCCTCCTATCCCATGTATCACACGAGTTGTCGCAAGAGCTCAATCAAGCCTCGCTCTCGCCCCTTCTGATAAACACCCATCCAAATTGTCGGATTTCATCTCCCTTGTCTCCAAAGTACAGGTCGGTTTCATAGGCCCAATGCAAAGTCCCAGTTACAACATCCCGGATCCCTTGTAGAAAGTGCAGCTCATCCGGCGATAACACCACCTCCGGCTTGACCTCTTGCCGCGTGAAGATGTTCCACAATAGAGTGGCGACCGAGACCGAAGCCGGAGGGGCAGGACATAAGTGGGTCGCGTCCACATCGAAGGCCTCCATCGACTCTTTGATGATGCCAAATGTGTGGTTCACTGCACCCTGGACAGAAAAGCTTTTCTCTGTACACAGGATGGAGACGACATTGAACGGATTCCCCACGAACTGGTCATTGTTGTACGACAAAATGTCCTGGACGCATATTCAGAGGAGTGGGTTAGAGGGGATTCTGTGTACCTACCAGAGACAGTGACAAAGCGAGGTTCGCATGAGCGATGAGAGTATCCCACGGTCGACTTTCCCAAGGTAATTTGAGACCCTCTGCCATTTCAACGAGACTAAACAATATTCCGATCCCGCTTGAGTCGCTGCACAGGCGGATGTATTCTTCCGCAGTTGGAAGAGTGTGGTTGGCCCGGTGTTCCATGATTTCATTCTGTGCCCTTCGGAATGCTTTCAGAGAGAGTTTCAGACGGTCTTTGGAGCATTCTGTGGGTAAGGATTCCACAATAGGTCCTAGAAACCTGTCTTGACCATGAGTACTGATGCATATAGAGCGGCGAAAGGCGACTCACGGCCCCAGAAGTTCGTTGTCATCGATTTCATCATATTCGTCAGTGTTCCCTGCCCATCCGCACTGACGCAGATTGAGCGCACTTCGCAATCGCGTCTTGCACAGAATTAATGCCGTTAGAGCATCCGTCGCAATTCGGAGTTGACGCTGATCACAAGTGGGTAAGCAGGCGGCAGCCCACATGCCTATCCGCATCCTGGGGACATAGCTCCGTTCGTTTTCTGACAGTGTTTGTACGCCAGCGAAGCAGCCCTCGGACGCTGAGGAGACCGAGTGGCAGTTTCTGTTCATGCGCAGATCAACCCCATGAACCAGTTTCAGGAAATCAGGCAGCTGAAAGCTTGATCTTGTGGCCATTTTATGGGGGGAGTCGAATCGTCGGTCGGGTCTGGTAGAAGATGGGGAGGATACCCGACTGTGAAAGGAAGTGCATACTCCCGACACGATCACGGTAACGTGATCCATGCGGCTCGGGTGGCCGATGATCTCCGATTCACGTGCCCGTGACGAAGTCCCTACTACGTCACCCACACGCCGTCTCTGCTTGCTTCGATGTCGTTACGCCAACGCATTCCGTTCCGTGCAGATGAAGACACAGAAGATCGGGTCGTACTTGACGAGGTCGAACAGGACGAGGTCATCGACACGTTGCACAAAGAAAACACGCGATCGACCGCCAATGCTCTGCTGATCGTGGACACGGTCCTCTCCCTGGCCTCGATTCTCCAGCTATCCTTTCTCTTCAATGGAAATCCACTGCTCGCACTGTTCCCTCCATCGACCATGTCCAACCTGGGACGATATACAATACCTTACCCTGCTGTCTTTGTGCTTTTTGCGCTAGTACTGCATGCCAACCTCGCATTGCACCTCCACCCGGCGTTGATCCGAGTCCTGCTGCCATCCTACTCCAATTCGACACCTCTCCCAGTTGCGATTCCCTTGTCGTATCCGCTGACGTTCTCACTGGCTGCGGTTCCACCAACATTCTGTCTGTTTCTTCACCACGCGTGGCAGGCGAATGCATGGGCAGCCTCTCCCTTCATTGTGGTGACCCTGATTCATTCTGTGCACGAGACACTCTCAGAAGGAAGCGAAGCGCTCGCTGAATTGGAGTCGCTGAGATATCGGGCCCCTGGTCCATAAGCTCTATCCGAAATCATACACATAAATATTTTTTATTCCCCGCCTTACTTATGTTCAGAATCGGGTTCAGATCCAAATGGTATCCGCTTTCTTCCCTGGAATGTCCCAAGACTGATGTTTCGTGCTCTTGAAACAGGCCGGTCGTCTGGTCCGACTGAAGACGCGCGATGCGATTTCGAGCCGGGGATATCGATGCGTCCTACTGCCCATGTCATCTCGAAGCCGGATTTTATGCTCCACAGCCAGACCAGGACGAATACAGGGGTGCTGATCAGCACGTTGAGCACGGCGAACAAGTCCGGATATCTCGCAGGAGGTTTCATCAACAACTCCAGGACGTGCAGCCCAAATGCGGCCGCGTAAACTGCGATGGAGACGAGCTGGATAACGGATCGCGTGGGAAGACGGAGGGGGTTGTATCCGATGAGCCGGTTCCAGAATGCGAGCATGGCAATGTATTGCACTGCAAGCCCGTCACGTTGGAGCAGTGGCCACATGCTGTCGCACCCCGAATGAGTCTATGGTTCAGAGAACTTGTTTGTACTACACACCTGAATACGGCGACGTTGTTAGCCAAAACCCCCCAGCCATAGACTGCAGAGTCTATCGGGGACACAGAAAGAAGCAACGTGATCGGCAGCAGGGGTAGCAGGATGGTCTTCTCGTGCACTTGGAAAGAGAAAAGGAAGAAGGACATGGAGGAGGTCAACATAGCATAGGGGAGAAGGGGCAATATCGGCGTGCTCGATGGAGGCTTAACGTTAGTCGTAAGCTGAGTTTGCCACGCGACGCGCAAGAGGACGACAATGTTCGGCAGAAATCCTAGAGCGGTGAACGCGGCGGAAAGTTTGACCAAGAAGGCAGGCGATGCCCAATTCTTCCATTTGAAAGCAACGTTCGACGCGCACCAGAAGTTCGCCACTTTGTCTTCAAACAATCCCCGGCCAAAAGGAAAGATGCGAGAGATTGGGTGCAGGATCGCAGAAACGGGGGCAAATGGCGGAAGAAATGGTAAAAACACAAGGAGGAACGCGAGCGATGTTACCAAAGCCAGTCGCACGAACAACCGCAATCTGCCAGGAGGGATGAGCCAGGGCTTAGTGCATCGGACGCCCGTACCCATGCACCGGTCCAAGATAAATGCATTTAGCCACCAGATATCCTCCGATAGCAGGCGCGTAATAGAGCGCCATTTGCTTGAACCCCAAGCTTAACACGAAGAACCCCGCGCCCAGCAAGTCGCGTCCGCCGACAAAACAGTTGATGGCCAAGAGAGCCAATCCTTGCAACAGGTTCGATAGAACGTCCGGCTGTAGATAAAATGACTCACCTAACATGACAGAGTTGTATTGGAAATGCCCGAAATCAATCAGGAGCAAAGCAGGTTGAAAGAGCAGCATGATGAGAGCCAGATTCTGAACCCATAAGCAACATCGACACGCGTAGATGTCCAGCAAGACTTGCCTGAGATCGCGAAGAGCGTGCGGAAAGCCATGTGCGAGAGAACATGACGAGGGCCGTGACATATACGATGGCGTCGAGGACGAGCACAGTCGAGCGCATAAACACTTTGCTCGACGCGCTTTCAATCCCCCTTGATGTGTCCAGCGCGACCCAGGCCGGGTCTATCCAATGACCTCTGGAAGAGAAGAACGAACTATGAGGAAAGACGCGTCGGAGAACTGGAAAAGCTCACACGATGCCACATAACCACGAAACATACGCAGTCATCGGCGGATAGTCGAGACCCCAGTACTGCAAGTCGTAGGTGTACCATTGCAGGATGGGAAGGTGGACGGTCAGCTCCATCCAATGTCGCTGGGCTTCATAATCGCCGAACATCGGCGGCGTGCTGTGACCTGCGGACGAGAAGACAAATCAACTCAACACACGCGTGTCGAAGCGCGTGGGGCACGCACCGGAGTACGAGCCAAGACTGATGCACGCCCGGACGAATGTGGACGCAAGGAGCACGCAGGGCAGAACCCAGCTCTTCATCCCGCGTTTGTGCATCCACCGGAGCCATCGCCGCGCCATGGACAGCTCCGCATCCTTCTCCACAAGCAAGGATGCTGCAATGACCTGTCTCCCATCCTGGGCGCCTGTTTCCTTCAGCGTGTCGAAGAACTTGATCGTGTTGGCGGACAGGGACGAGAACCGCCTGCTGTTGGTCAGGCTACTGGGGACCGTGGGTGACACGGCTCGCGAGGAATTCGGGGAGGTCTGGCTGTAATCGACCCAATGAGATGCCCCACTGTCGAGGAATTGTCGCCGAGGGATAGGGGAGTGTATCTCGGGCCCATGGCTGGTGCTGTGAAGCATGAGTCTCGATTATTTGAGTGCGCTTGTTCCGCAGGGGCGTACGTACGACATGCGTGCGACCGAAAGAAGAGAGTTCACGGAGATGGTGCGGATGCGGTTCAGTCTGGGCGCATTTTCGGGGGGTAGGGATGATAATCCATCCATGATGCGCCGCTGCTGCAAGGAAACTCTCTGACCGAGTTGCCGAGGAACTGTGAACTTGACACGAGGTCAATCATAATGCCAGATGATTGACAAGTAGAGCCATCAGATCTTGAGAGCAGGATCCATAGCCCAGTCTGCATCGTCGAAAGCCCCGTGTGTCGATGAGACTGTATTCATAGCAGTTGCAATAGTACACATATTCTACATGCATTCAAAAAAGATAATAAGCTAAGTCTCCCTACACGTCTCCAAAAAGACGCTTCCTGAATCATTTATCTTCGTCAGCAGAGTCCTCACGCGACTACGCAGCACGAAACTCACAAGGGCACAGGTGCATCGCTGAAGAACGTCGGACCTCCCAGCAACTCCCGGCTCCACACATCCCGCAAGAACCACCCGACATGGCCCACAACGCAGCCGACCAGGTCGCCCGCAGCGGCCTTCCAGCTACCGTTCAGGATCCACGAGAACGCGACGAGAGCAATGGGCAGGTACGGCGCTGTGATAGTGATGATGCCGAAGAGAGAGATAGGGGTGGACGGGTGCCGCCGCGACCACATGTAGATGGGCACGAATGCTAGCGAGGAGGAGAGGAAGGGGAGGTTGAACAAGGGCGACAAAGCCTGCTGTCTCTCAGCTGGCGACAACATCGATGTAGGAGACGCGACACACCAGGAGCATGATCGAGGAAAGGAGCAAGAGCCAGAAGTAGTCCGCCTTGCGATTAGGAAACGACGATTCCTCCAGCATGCGACTGTATCTCATGCTGAGGGTGCGCGTTTGGGGTCAGCACTCGCGACAGAAGGGGAGCCACGAGGGACGTACAAGAAGAACAAGTGGAAGACAAAGTCTAGCGATATAGGACCGAAGTAGAAGAATGTGGTTCCGGCGCGCCACGGCTGCCTGAGATGAGAGACTCTTCGAGAACGGATGCACACGACGACACCGTACCTGTCCATTCAGAAAGTTCTTCGGACTGAAGTAGAGCTGGAGTGGTGTAACCAGCTGACATTGCTGCGACGTGTTATAGTGCGGCCAGACAGCTTAGCAGCTCGGAGGGCTCACAACGGCGAGACTCGTCAAGACAGACAACGCGAGCCATCCTCGGGTGATGGGAGGGATTTGTGCTACCCAGGCTTCGACCCCGACGGGCATGCTTGGAGAGAATTAGAAAGAGCGGGGGTTTAGAAGGGTCGGAGGATTGTAGCCAAGAAGAGCGGTCACCGTCAGCGGTCGACGTTGCCGGCGGCGTTCGTTGAACGTGGCCTTGATGATATCATGGTACACGTGATATCGCGTGAAAACAGATTTTATGTCTCACAAATCTAGGGAGTGAGAATCGCTGTGCTGGCAATACAGTGCATGGAAGTCGCGTCAATAATTCATCCATGCTACTCCGCAGTTTGCAGATTAGAAGCCACGCAGCCCACGCAGGACAGCCATTTAGATTACTTGGGCATCACGATCACTGATTTAGTAAGAGACTCTCCAGGGTGCTAATCTCGACCAAGGGGCCGCCCTCATCTCCTTCCGGGCCCAGGACGGAAAGAATCGCTTTGGCTTCGGTGAGATATCCCAGACACTCTCGTCGGGTGTCCAGGTTCTGCACAAGCAGTCCATTCCAGTACGTCTTGGCAAGCTCGAGAAGATGCAACCCTGCGAAGAAAAACGAGGTCAACTCCCGCGCCCAGATGATTGACGCAGAATACTTGCCTATCTGGGGATAATTTTCGGGATAGATGAGTCTATACAGCGCAAGGAGCGTCTCGCCGGACGTGAACGCCGTTTGGTAGCTCCCATCGTGGGAGGCGTTTCTGAATGTCTCGGCAAGCTGGACGACGAACGATTCGTTGAGAACGGCGAGAAGCTCGGTTGGGAGCGTTTCGTCTGGATTGGAGGATGTTAATAGGGTCGAATCGCAGCGATTGGAGCGTGCAAACTGCAGCAGATCGCGCGCAAGCGCAGTTTGGTCTGAGGGTTCCGGAATGCCCCCGGTCCTTTCGAGGAACAGACAAGATGGGCAGCGGCATTGGAAGCCGTACGAGAATCGAAAAACTTGTTGACGCGATTGAATCAGCGCTGGATCCAGATACGGGAGACATATCTGGAGGTATGGTGGTGAATCATTGGTGTCGGAGGAAAATGGCCATAGCTTACTTCTTCTCCTTCAGATATATCTTTTATGGCCACCACCTCCATCCTGGGGAGACATGCCTCTGCGAGTCTATACTTCACTACTGCATTGGGCAGACAGGAATGGTTGAAGTATCGGCTCGCAGAAGTAAAGATCCCGTGCCCAAAAGTATTCAGGTGCGAGTGTATGACGAAATTGTTATTCCCAAAGCGTGCGTGCAGACTCTCGGCGTCGCGCGGGGTCAGCCGAGACGTGAAGACCACGGGGACGACCGAACGCGTGTCGTCTGGGCCAGGTAGAAGATCCATGACGCGAGCACGAGCAGTTTTCTCGGCGGCGGCATCATCCATACACTCTAGCTGAGCGACCAGATGAGAGAGCAGCATGCTGTCGTTCCTTTCATGCTGTGCAAGCGCCTGGAACTGCGTGCCTGCAGTAAACTTGTTGATCCGTCTGGAAGCACAACTCAGCCAAGTCCCGTCCACAGTATACTCGGACGGCTCACTTGCAGATTTTCTTATGATGGAGATTCCACTGGAGTGTTTGGCACGGTGTCCCGCAATAGAAATACGCTGCACATCCCGTGCACCGTTGGAGTCGGGGGGAGACACGATGGCAGTGATCGCAGCGTAGACTTTTGTGATCGTCCAAGAGAAGAGTACAGAGAGCCTCTTCAGAGAGCAGAGTTGTCCCCGCAGTGAAGCTGCTGGTAGCAACAGCTTTGGATCTCGCAGGTCCTGATAGTGGTGCAAGTCGGACGTAGGCCATTGTGATCGGCGAGTCGGCCGAAAGACTCGCGCGGTCACATGACAACTGATTCGTTGGTCATTGCTGGTCTTTCACTGCATCTCGGTTTCGGAATGTTTCTCTCATCCTGTATCCCAGGATTAAAGCCATCTGAACGGATTAATCTCTCTATAACTATCCTATGGCTGTCTCAAAAGCTACCGACCAGGGATCATGGAGATTGGATGCGCCACGGCGAGAAGCCTCTAAAGGGACCGCATTCGAGAGTCTCTACTTCCGGTATTTCCTCCGGCGCCATGACCTCCGCTTAATATTCCGTCGATATCACCGATACCTTTATCATTGTCTCGGAGTTCGGTCACAACAACCACATGTGAGCACCATTCAGCCTCGAGACCAAACCTTCGATCCAGCATACCCGACGTTCTCCCATGCTCGCGCGGAATCCGACAGAATCAGTGGGGCGGTGTGTGCGATTATTTCTATGAGGGTAAACCTTAGAAACGCGCCGTACATGCACTTTTCAGAGCATTGCCATCACTAATCTCTATCGCCTTGATGCTAAAGCATACGGCTGAACACGTGAAGGGTTGCAAACTGCCAGATCGAGGAGAACCCGAAGGGATAACACGCGACTTCCGGGGAAACTGTACCATGGAGATCCAGGGAGCGCAACTGCGTGGTTTGCCCGGCACCCATCAAGTGCAAATCCAATGCATTGTATCATACAGTTAGATAACTCACAGACCGAATAAGATTAGATTAGATACCCACGATTAGCCGTGGTTGATAAGATACGATCACGAATCCCAGATAGCCCCAAATGCCGGAATGCCCCTGCTCACCATGCCTGGATGTATGCCGTCAGAAGACATCTCGGAAACTCGCGCGTGTGCTTACCATACACGACCTTCCGTGTCAGCTTCTGATTGGAAATGATGCAGACCTGGGACCGGGGTCAGCGGTACGTACACCGTGGGCGTGGGGGCAACAACTCACGGCTTCGGCATCAAACTCTTTGACCAGGCGCAGAGTCAGCTGTGCGGATGTTCATCGCTGGTCAGCAGGTCAGGGGAGGGAAAACGACGGACCTTGACCATGTCTGGCTTTCCGTGCTTCTTCGTGTCTGGACAAGGTTCGAGTGAGCACAGCGGGGCGGAAAATGGGACGACAGGCAGACGAACCGTAGATGACCGACTCGGGATTGGCTTCGAGGATCTGGTCCACGAGATGGTCTCCGAAGGTCTGTCTGACGTTCGGGGAGGTCCAGAGCAGGCGAATCGGGATGCGTCTTTCCAAAATCACAGGTGCGCACGGCCCAATTCCGCTGCCTGTGCATCCAAGTTTCAGTGCGACATCCAGAGACACACAAGCGAGAGTATTACCTGTTGCCACCAACACTATCCTGCGGAATAGAGGGGCGATGCGAAGCACGCCGAAACACGGGACCCCGCGCACCCAGACGTGGCTCGGCGGCTCACAGATTTGGGCCGCCGTCCAGTCGCCCGCCTTGGACACCACGAGCGAGAATCCGGGTTTGTCTGGCTCGGGAATCGTCGCGAAACCGTGCCAGTCTTTCAGCGGGTGGTCGGCAAGGCGCACGAAACTCCCCGCCTTGGGTGTGCAGTAGTCAAAGTGCATGCGCACCGCATGCGGAGACAGCACTTCGCTCCGCACGGGCACCTTCCGCAGCCGAGTCCATGGCAGAATGATGGAGCAGGTCATGGTCACCAACAACCAGAACGGAGCAGAATGCAACAGCGCGCTCCCCAGTGAGAGGCTCCCGCGGTAGTCGTTGGTGAGCGAAACGACCTGGGCCCAGACCAGGGCGATGCCTGTCCAGCCACAGAATCGGTGGATGCGCTCGAACGTGTCGTGACGTTGGCTCCGGAAGGCGGGCATCGCGAATATCACGATGCCAACGAGGAATGCGAGAATCGAGTACGAGATGGCGACCGTGGCGACGGAAGCCTAGAGTCTGGTGAGCTACGATGGCCTCCATCGCTCAAGAGACTTACCCCCAACTGACGCTTCTCCGCGACTTCTTTCGTAGCCTGAGCACACAAAAACGCGAGCCAAACCACGCCAGACATCGCGCACCCGCTGTGCAGACCACCGATGTGGTACACCCTGTAAGAATGAGGATCTCTGAAAACACACAGGCAATTATACGACATACCTGGCACAAACGCGGCGGATGAACAGGGGCCACGAAGGAGGGACAGCACAGCAGACATTGAAGAACACGTTGATGACATAGTCTTGTCGCATCAAACTGTATGCAGTTTAGATGGAATGCAGATTGTGTCTGATGAAAGACAACTCACATAGCGCAAAAGATATTAGAAATGGCGATTAAACCGAGTCGTTGTGAGTTGGCCCCCTTGACCGCAATCCAGACCAGAACAGCGACGTTGACCACGAAGACGACCCCGAATAGTCGTCGGTAAAGACTGAAGACCTGGTGTCGCACGTTGCGGACAAACTTGCTGGAAACTTTATCGGGGACTTCATCCTCCTCGTAGCCAGTCCACAGCTCCGATTCAACGAATTCTGCCTTCGTGCTGAGGCTTTCTGCCTTTTCTGCCTTCGTGTTGAGGCTTTCCGCATTTTCCGCCTTGGTGCTGAGGCTTTCCGCCTTGGTACCGACCGCGGAAACGATTGTCAAGCCATCGGATGAGGCCTGTGCAACCGTCTCGACCGCCAACTGCTTGAGCGCTCTTCTGTCCGTCTTGTCGTTACTGGGTAACCAGGTCAGGCAATGTAGTCACAGAACGCGGAACTGTGTTACTGTGTCTTGGGGAAAGACTCCAATGCCATGATGCGAGTGGGGACAGCGTAGTAGGGCTGTATCCGCGCGGTTGCCTTTTTGACTTCTGCTTCCTCGACTGCTGGGGTCACGAAGCCCCACAACTCGCCCTCAATCAAGATCGCGGCTGCTGCCAGGACATTGGGAGTGGTCTATGACGAGTGGGCTCAGCATCAAAGCCAAGATGGGATTTGAGAACGCGGTACCTCCATGGATGCAGCAATACCGTCAAGCTCGACCCGGAAACCCTGTAGTAGCCGGTCAATTTCAGATCTCATGAGTGGAGTGTGGATGAACAACCTTAATCTTGACCTGGTCATCCACCCGACCAAGATGGTCTAATGTGCCATCCTCCCGCCACGATCTGTAATATTGGAGCCTCAACTTGGCAAGAAGACATCGCCACTGACCCCATGTCGCCTGTGTTGAACATCTTGGAGCTACACAAGACGCTTGTCAGAAGGCTGTGCATCGAACGGTGAGTGGCCACTAACCCATTTTTGGTAAAAGGATCCTCAGTGTACTTCTCTCGCGTCTTGTCCGGGAGATTTAGATATCCGCGTGTCACACAGTGGCCACCGGCCCACATAATTCCGGGGACACCGACTGCGCACGGCTGGCATGGGATCAGGAGAGCTGCGGAGGGCTGGGATTGCATGACGCACTTTCATTTCATCATCGAGGACATAGACGTTGGTGTTAGGAACAGGTTTCCCAATGCTGAGAGGGGTGCCAAGGACGTGCAGATGCATCGTGTTGACAATCGTGACTTCTGTTGGCCCGCAGCAGTTGTGGAAATTCGTGCGTCGGCCCCACAGATCAGCCAGAGCTGAATCAAGTGAGCAAGGAACATATGCAGATGAAAGAAAAGGTTACCCTGAGGACAAGCCTCTCCGGCAACTGCCACGGTTTTGATGTTCGGATAGTCAGCCGGATTGTGTGGGTGCAACATCGAGGGCGTTCCAATGACCACATCTGCCTTCTTCATGGTCGCACGCCACTCCGCTGAGGACTGACCGCGAAGGACCAGAGTTCCCGCGTTACATAGACTGACCAAGATTTCCTGAGAAGCATGAGATGGGCACCACCTGATCGGATCAAGGTGGATTTACCCATGCAGCCATGTCGAATCCAATGTTCATCAGCTGAGAAACTCGCATTCCTGGAGTGATTCCCAGATTTCCTGGCGCCAGGCAAACAACTGGGATCGAATCAGCACGAGCACAACTTCCCGTCTACTTGAACTTACGATTTGTCACGTTCCGATGCATGACATCAACCTAGATAGAGTTAGAGCGTAACCCAAAAAAAACAAGATGAAGCCAAGACTTACACCCTTCGGGACACCCGTGGTACCTGTGGGATGATGAGCGCCATGTCATCGACAGGATTCAGAACTCTAACCGCTGGTGTATATGACATAGACGCTGTCCTCGGGGGACGATTCGTCGTGCTCTGGCAAGGCACATCGCAGACTCCCCCGTCGCAAGGGCACGGCGCGTCGTCAAGATACACAATATTCACGTTCTCCGGCACGAGATGCAGTCGGTGATCGAACTTGTGGACCGTCATGAGGATACAACATCGCGAGTCTGCGATCATGTGCTGCAACGCAACATCTGAAACCACTTTGCCGTCACATGGCACATAAGCAGAGTTCGTCTTCAGGACCGCAACAATTCCGACAATCAGTTCGACAGAGCGATCGCCTAGAATGCAGACGCGTTCGCCTGCTCGAGCCCCGAGACCTCGCAGGCGTTTCGAGAGACAGGTCGAACGCTGAGCGAGTTCGGCGTAAGAGATCGAGTTCCGGTAGCAATGTCCTCGACGGCAATGACGCCGGGGTGGGAGACTGCCTGGGACTCGAATGCGTGCTGAACGCATTGAAACGGAGGGGCCACTGGAGACCCGAAAGCAAATAGAGGCAGATGTTCAGACATGATCGTCTGTATTGTAGTTTGCATTACATTGCGAGCTGTTTTATACCAAGACCAGCGAGGGTGGGATAATCTCCGGATTAGACAGTAGCTTCTTCAACGTTATGCGCGGCAGAAAGCACATGTGGAGCCGCATGACGAGCGAACCAGCCCACACTCTACCAAGACAAGGTAGTAATGGGGGAGGGTGGGGACCATGAGGGGAGTCCAGAGAGGAAACCAGACTCCCACGTCTGAGGTCGGCTTTTAAGAAGAATCCTATACGGGTCAATGTTATTTTTGAGGGCGCCAATGACGCGGACTGGAGGAGATAGAGAAAAGCCCGAAGTTGAGTCTTTCGTGGCGGCCACACCCGTAAAAAGGCCGATGCAGGGTCCGGGCGCAATGTCGGATCGAGTGCGTCGAGCCAACATGCAGCAATTATCCGTGTTGCACTTTAGGTTAGATCGACCGGTCTGCAGATGAAGAGTTACGTCTTTCGAGAATCAGCCCCGTTGACAGACCGGTGACATCAAGCCTCGCTCTCACGCCGATCTCATTCGTCCTGAAGGCCCCCACGCACACCACGTCTGATTTTAGAAAAAGCCCTGGCGATGTTTGCCACAAAATCCCTTATCCACCGGGTATCGCCATTTGTTGCGTGCGTCGTGTTTGTGGGTGGGCAAAAACGCATCTCGTACGATTCCCTTCCTAAACTTGTCGCTTGTCTCTTGCCACCATGAGCCTTCACACCGCGACCACCTCAGCCCCAGTCAACATCGCATGCATCAAGTGTGTTGCTGTCATCTAGGCTGATATCCTCGGGCTAATAGAGTTTAGGTACTGGGGCAAACGCGATACTAAGCTGATATTACCCACAAACTCTTCCCTCTCCGTCACGTTGGATCAGGATCACCTCAGATCGACTACGACCTCTCGTGCTGATCCCTCCTTCGAGAAAGATCGTCTCTGGCTCAATGGAATCGAGGAAGAAATTAAAGCAGGCGGCCGCATGGCGACGTGCATCGCCGAGATGAAGCGCTTGCGAAAGGAGCTTGTCGAGGAAGTAGATGCGTCTGCTCCCAAAGTATGACGCTTCCTCTTCCCCCAAAACATCAGCAACTCACCGCGGATAGATCTCGGGCTATTTCGTTCACATCGCGTCGCACAATAACTTCCCGACCGCGGCGGGTCTGGCCTCATCGGCGTCGGGTTTCGCTGCTCTGACCGCATCGCTGGCGGCTCTCTACGCACTGCCCTGTCCCCCGACGACCCTCTCCCTCATTGCGCGCCAGGGATCAGGTTCCGCGTGCCGTTCTCTGATGGGTGGTTTCGTCGCGTGGAATGCCGGCACCGATGCCTCTGGTCTGGACTCGCATGCCGTCCAGATCGCACCAGAATCCCACTGGCCTGATATCCACGCTCTCATTTGCGTCGTCAGTGATGCGAAGAAGGGAACCAGCTCCACATCCGGGATGCAGCGCACAGTCGAGACCTCGTCCCTCCTGCAGCACCGCATCAAACACGTCGTTCCCCAGCGCATGACCGATATTTCTGCCGCGATCCTGGCGCGTGACTTTGACCGCTTTGCGGAGATTACGATGGCCGATTCGAACCAGTTTCATGCCGTTGCACTGGACACCTCGCCGCCCATCTTCTACATGAACGATGTCAGCCGTGCCATCGTTGCAGTGATCGAGGAGTACAACCGGATCGCGTTGCTGCCTGAGAACGGAGGCAAGCGTAAAGCAGCCTACACGTACGACGCCGGCCCCAACGCCGTCATCTACGCCCCGGCAGCCAACATCAAGGAAATCATCAACCTGATCGTCCATTACTTCCCCCAGCAGGATGCATTCAAGGACCCCTTTGCCTTGTTTGGGACTGCCGGTGTCGGCTCTGGTGCAGTTCTCGCTGGATTCAACGTGAACGTCGCGAAAGTGGCAGAAGTCGGAGCTGTCAAGGGACTGATCCACACGCGGGTCGGCGATGGACCTCGCACATTAACGGAAGAGGAATCCCTGCTGGGAACCAACGGCCTGCCCCTCAAGATGGCTCAAAAATAGAACGAAGGAATTTCCACATGAAATACTCAGCAACCGGGCGGCTTGTGCATATATCATCATTTGAACGATTCCTTCTCAGGAAACTGATATTGGATGCGAGAGGTTGGTAACGACAGGAACAATACGTAGGGTATTTTACGCGAGTGGGATAGCACATGTCTTAAGATGGTAGCAAAGCACTGTCATGAAAGTCCGACAGAACGTGTGATTCAGGTTCAAAGCATAGAACCGACAGCGAGGGCCATGAGGCCAGCCAGAACACCGACGGGCTTAAGGCCCATGGCGCCGCTGTGAGACGACGAGCTGCTGGCACCGGGAGCGGCGCCGCCGGTGCTAGTAGCGAGAACATTGGACGCGGTGCCCTGAATGCAAAACAATGGCGTCAGTCACGGCAGAAGATTGGCAGGGTTAAAAGCATAGCAGGCAAGCGGCACCGAGTGACAGCGGAGCAGCCCAAAGGCCGCCGACAAGATAAATCGAACCACTCGAACACACCTTAGCTACTGTTGCGCTGGCGGTGTCGACGGGGGTAGCACTGGACGCAGGGTACCCGGCACTCAGCGGCTTGATCGAGAATTCTTTCGAAACGGCGTAAACCTGCAATGGATCACCGTCAGCCACCGGGTACATTCCGCAAGTCCGAAAAGTGTCGAACATCAGTAGCGTTGGTCGAGCTGGTCAGCACCAGAGTGTAGCCATCACCGGGGGGCGCAACGACGAGGTCGGCGGGGACACCCTGGATGCAGTTGTAGTTTTGCTCAACAGCGACGATGGCGGTGATGTCCGTCAGCAGGTTGACGTTGCTGTTGTTCATCCAGATGGTGAAGTCCGGGTGGGTGCTCTCGCCGCATGTCCAGACGAGGTTGTTAATTTGCCGGTGACTTTGTGAGATGAGAAACAGCCACTCAGTTCGGAATGGAAGGGACGTACGCCACCACAGATCGGAACCTCCGGGAGCGAGGATGCTCAGGCCACCCGAGGAGAACTCGGCCAACGCGGTGTGGATGCCAGCAAGGAGGATAGCAGACTTGAAGTGCATTTTCGCGAACGAAGGAGGGGGGAAAGAACAAGAGCGTGAAGACTTCTCTATCAGTATTACGTGAGTCTGATTGTCACCGGACCTGGTGGCAGTCAGGGCCGGAAGGCAGCCGAATTTGTTCCGAAATGTTTCGAGCCAAATGGTGATTATGAGTACATGAGAGAGCAGATGAGTAGTACAGAATGTATGCATAGGATGAGATGAAGCAAAAGGATGGAAGACTTCAGTGGTATTCTATCACAGATTTCCTGGTAATGTACGAGTTTTGGCGCTCGTCTCGCTCCATTTTCCTAGGACACACTTTTAGATCGGCTCCTTGTTATGACAAAAATAACAGACCAGTAGTAGTCGAGGACGCCACTCTGAGAAAGTTTCGCAAGGAACTTTTCGTCGTGAGTAATAACAATGAGCTGGAAGTTGGAATGACTCTTGCGCTCATGAATGATGCTGACGAATGGTCAGCCGCTTGAGCGATGCTTCTCGCAGAATGGATCATTACCTGATCAAACTGGAAGCCAGAGCCTCGATATTTTTCTCATCCAAGGCATTCGTTGGCTCATCCAGGGCCAGAATGCCGCAGTTCTGCCCAAACGAGTCGGATAGCGCTAATCGGATGATGATGGATGCTAGCATCTTTTGACCGGCAGAACAGCGGCCTCGCATATCCATCTCGACTTGGTCCTTGGTCATGACCACCCGATAATTGTATGACCGTTTAGTAGCACCGCCCTCGGCATCGGAACGGATACGAATAGTGTCGATGTCTGCAAACGCTCGATAAATGGACTGGGGCTAAGACGTGACACTCACCGCTTCCTTGGTACGTCTTATTCCAGAGGTATTTCATGATGTCATTCACTTCCTCCATCTTGAGACTGTGGTATTTCATGATCGCGCTGCAAACGTCAATGTATGGACGTGGTGTACTATCTGGCTCTCAACTTGTCCAGAGCTTTCGCATATTTCTCAAGATCGTTGTTGGCCATGTCAGACATCTGAGCGCAAGTCAATACCAGGGACACACGCGCACGACTTGAAAATCCTGCGCACCTTGACTTTGATCAACTGGTCCTTGTAGTTCTTGTTTACATCCTTGAACTCCTTGAGATCCAACTCCTGCTGCTTCAGCTGGTTCCTGCTCGAACTCAGCTCTCCGGCCATATGCGCGTACTGGACATCCATCAGCTTATGATGCAGGCAAGCTAGAAAAGAGATACTTCGGTCTGCAGCCTGTTTTCCTTATCCTTGTAGATAGCGAACTTTTCGGTGAAGTTGCGCTTGGCCTTGGCTGCAGCAGCGATGTCCTCCTTGTCGATGTTCTCCTGGATAGTCTTGATCTCCTTGATCAGCCGACGAACACGCAAGTTCTCTCGGACAGTGGCCATGGCCGAACCCGAGCGTTGATCTCCTTCTCGATGCCTTTGACGGTTTCGCGTGCGGCTTCCAGATTTGTTTCCAACTCTCGAATTTCCGTTGCAACCTCTTCCGACTTTTCGATGCATTCTTGTCGTCGTTGATCGCGTTTGTTGCGAACATATCTGCAGATAAAAATAGTGGGGTGAACAAACGATCCAGTTGAGCGCGAAAAACACCGACAATTCGATGTTCTTGTTAATCCCGTTCAGTTGGTCCACTCTCTGCGCCAGCTCAGAATAAGCTGTTTCTGCACCGACAATATCCGCATCTAACTCTCGTTGAGACCGCAGGTGCTCATTAGAAAGAGCATCAATTGGAGCCTGAAGCTCCAAAATCTTCTCATCCTGCTCCTTGACTCCAACAGCATGGGCCTGGCACTCCTCCTTCATGGACTGAATACTCATCTCAAGGCTTTCCTTCTCGCGGATCTTGGACCTGATGTCCACCGACTGTATCTCCATCGTGTGCAGTTCGTTTTCGTACACTCGCGTGGCCGACATTCTAGTCTCTCGTTCCTTGAGCAAACCTTCTTTCTGCTTCTCAGTTTTCCGGCTTTGAGTCATCAGTAAGACCCACATGGCGTTTACGATCTAACTCACATGACTGCCATCAGCTCATCCAGTTCGGTTTGCACCTCGTCTGCTGTTTTGGTTGAGCCTGTTGCAGACAGTTGCTGCTCCGACGTGGCCACGTTCTCAGTCGCTCTTTTGAGATCTTTTTGCAAGCGAGAGATATTGGCGCCCTGCATCTTCAACCTTTGAACTTCTCGGAGATCGCGTTTCAAGTCATCCAACTTCTCCGAAAACTAGGCGATTTCTCAGCTCCGCAGCTGCTGATCCAAAGTGTCGGACCTACTGAATCGGAGGAAGAGCTGGCTCCCGGGATCTCTGCGTTGAGCTCCTGGATCTTGGACTCGAGCTCAGGAATCTCCACGGTCTTGAGACGATCACGCGTGGTCTCTAAGGGCTGAAGCGCTTGCACTTGCTTCAGCAGGGCTTCCCATTGATCCTGTTCTTCCTGAGGAACAACTTTGCTGCTTGAAGAGTATTTCGTGATCTTTGCTTGGAGCTGTGCAAGTGTATCAGCTTCATGGCCGGTGGAAGCACAGATACGACGCACCACTCGCTCGAACTCCATCAATTCATGATCGTCGAGGTGACGGTTGCACGCAGAACAAGCCTTCTTCTGTTTTCCCGTGCGCAGCAATTCCTTGTAGACTTTGCTGCCCTCTTGCGTGACCTGCGCCGAGCTGCATCCGCTTGGAAAGACTGTTTCTAATGATAGAATATTCAACGTACGTCTTTCCATTCTCCACTTCATTAGCAAGAGCAGTGATTGCGTCGTCAACGGTTTCAAAGTCCTCGTCCAGTTCTTCAAGCTCAAGACCATTCTTGATCTGTTTATCCAGACCTAGCAGACTTGTTCGAGCGCTTGATAACAAGTACTAGACGCTTCGTACCTTTGAGCTCGTCCTTCTTTGATTTCAGCTGTTCCTTCAGGCTGCTGAGCGAGCTTTGAATCTGCTGCAGTCGCGCATTGGCCTTCGAAGCCTCCGACTCGACTTCCGCCAGTTCTTTCTCCCTCTCACTGTTCGACTTGGTCATTTTGGGCGGTGCCGCAGACGAGATAACGCACAGTTGAACTCGGTCGACTTCACGTTCGAAAGTGTCTTCTTGTGGATCAGTCCGACGAGTCGCCGGAATGAGGGCTTTGCCGTCGAAAGGCTAGGAAAATATCAGCAGTGCGACATTCATAACTGCCGCACACACGTCGATGAGATCTCAAGAGATTTGGATTTGACTTCGTTGCGCTGGTGATCTAACTTGGCGCGAGCCTCGGCCTGCAGGTTGAGGAGTTTGAACTCTGAATTGAGAGCGTCACGCTTTTCTTCTAATGATCTGATGCTGGAGGTCTTTTCCTCAAGATTTCGTCGTATTTAGCGGCGTTGATCGCCGCCTGAGATTTCTGCAGCCGAGTCTGCTTCTCCTCGATGTCCTCGGTCAAAGACCGCAGCTCATTCGACAAGTTTGATGTTGCTTCAAGTTGTCGTTCGGCGAGACTGATCTTCCCTGCTTATCCGTCTGCCCAATCCCTTCAGCTCAAAATCACACCTAGAAAAGCGTAACGCACTAATTGATGTTGGAGTGCGTTACGCGACACTTTCGAGGCATTCAGCGAGTCGGTTAGTTCAGCCGACTTGGACTTGAATTCGTCCTCCTTCGCTCTCCTGTCACGCTGAATCCCGTCGAGTGAGCTAGCAAAATCAATATACATGACAACACCTACTTTGAGATCCTCAGCGGTTTTACGCTGTTTGCGACTCAGGTCTTGAATCTTATTTGTAAACTCGACGATCTTGGCAGCCTCTAAGCCCGAAGAACTAAAGCTTTGATCTTGAATTGTCGCTGATGTCGTGAATCGTTTGCTCTCGTTCCACTAGGCGGGTTTGTTGAGCCTGGGAAGCTGTCAAAGGATGTCCATCACGGCGCGTTGGGTGTACGGACATCAAATTCGGATTTGAAGATGCCTACTTGCTGCGCCAGTTCGGTGTACTGTTTCCGGGCACCGCTGAGCTCATTTTCCACGTTTTCCGCCTTTCGCTCTCGGCCTCGAGTTTGTGGCGCTGCTTCATTAGATCGCTGTCAGAGTTGTTCAGTTGGCTCCAGCTCCTCGTCGGTGCCTTGCATTGTTCGTCAGTGCTCGTGATACACTTCATCTGAATCTGTCGCACCAGGAAGTCCTGTAGATTGATGCGCGCCTCCTGCAAATCAGCCTGAGCCCGAGACTTGCTTTCCTCAAGGCTCTCCACTCTCTGATACACGTCGCGGAACTGGTTGGCGGATTCCTGAAATTTGTGATTGGACAGGACGATGCATCGTACGACTTCTTCGTGTCCTCATATTCCAGCTCTTTGTCAGCGATGACTTTGTTCAGATCTGCAACGCGTGTCTTCAGTTTGTCGGAGTGCGCCTTTTCGCGCGAAAGACCCTCGAGCCGCTCTTTCTCTGCTTGAGCTCGGCAACGCGACTTCCTAAGGGACTTGATGGAGTCGAGGGCCTTGGTATACCTGAATCGAATTAGACCTTTGGTCGGGCCATCGACGTTTGACCCACTTTGTAGCCTCGAAGATGTCGTCGAATTTCTTCTTCAACGCAGCGGGCTCGGCCAGTGGCCAGTAGGAGTCCTCCTGATGGCAGAAAATGACATTCTCTAGAACTGCCTTAGACACTCCAAGTAATTGAGGTATCTCCGCGTCGAGTTCGGCACATTTCGTCGAAATGACGGCGCGCTGCAGTACCGTTGAGTTTGAAGCCCCTTCCTTTATGCCAACGTACCTTGCCACTGGTTTCCTTATTGTTCTCGAGTGCGAGAACGCTTTCCAACGTCTTCATCGTGAGCCCGTCTTCTTCACGGTCACACTGAGATTTCGGAGAGCAACCATTTTGCCCATTGGCAGCGATGAACCGCAATCGGACCTGAGCCTTGACCTCCTTCTCATTGGCCATTTAGGATCATGAATGAATGCGCTCCACAGCGTGTTAGGTGGCTGGTCGCCCGTCGTTGCATACTTCAAGCACTCGATGATCGTCGTCTTTCCCGTACCGTTCTGTCCCACAATGACGGTGACAGGAGAGAAGAATTCGATGACAGCAACTGTTTGTCATCAAAGAACGTATCCTCGAATCGCCAGCTTGTGCAGGGACGACATCCTGCTTTGCGGGCAGCTCTGGCAAGATTCGAGGACCGGGAAAGCTAACAATGGTCGTGACGTGACTGAGTCACGAGCACTCAGAACGCGGGTCGTCACAACACCTCGGAAAGATCCGGGCCGGCACTACTATCGCTTTCCCAACAGCCATGATCCCTCACCTGCCCCAGAGCTCATCCACCTCGTCCTCTCGAATGTATATATCTAAACTTTCCGTGGGACACACCGGATTATCGCACTCTTGCCTCTTGTTGCCTTGTGAACTCCGATTGGAGAACAGCTTCACAACCCTTGCTGTTCTATCGCATATCGCTCATGGTCGTCAGTTCGTTTGGAAGGTTCGTGGGTAGCAAATTTGGGCAGCCAAATCTGCTGGCCCATGTTCGCTCCTTGTCGCTCTCTCTCTGTGGCCCGCGGCATTCGAAAGACCCCGGATGGTAACAGTGCCAAGTATGGTGGAGATGATGAGCTCGTGCACTCAGCTCTACGAGTGGATATTGTACTCGAGCCGCCTCTTTTCGCTTGGCTTGATGTCTGAACAGATCGAATCTCTTGTCACGTCGTCCTCGTGGAAGATTCGCTCGCTCCGCTTGATGGAATGCAGTCACAATCTCCATCTTTACGAACTATTGTCGGTCTTCCAGACGTCCAATCCTAGTGCTGGGAATTGAGCTTTCTGCTGCTCCACCGCTGTGGACTCCGGCTGTTGAGCTGTACGAATTGAAGCTCCATAGGACCATGCCTTCGGAGGTCTAGTTTGGCTATTGTCGTCGTCCCGACAGTCCTTGCGGATTCTCGAGCTGCGAGATCTTCCAAGTGCATCCACCGCACTTGACCTGTGCCATGCTTTCCAAATCTACAGTCTCTTCGACTGATGCGGTTCAACTCACACTCTGCCGCATTTTGCTGCAGTGTGCGAATCTCGTGGAGCTGGTCCTGCTTAATTGGCCCACCATCTTCCCATTACCCCCGCTGCCTGCATCATTACAACATCTCTACCTCCCTATCCAGACATACGACTGGTATCGACATTGAGTCGGTTCTCCGCGCTGTCAACTCCGACAACCTTCCCAATCTGCGGATCCTCAGTTTCACTGGAGCCTCCGATCTGGCCTCGCCTCTTCAGGCTGCCTGCTTGTCCAAGAACATCAACTTCGGGCCTCACATCTAAATCTGGACGGTGGGTTGTCGCCAGGTATTATACTCGCAGTGCTCATCAACTCTTCCAACTCTACAGAATGATGACCCCGTGAAGACGCTGCATTTCCCTAGGAGGAAATCAATTTCCAAGTCCTTCTCATGAGATAAATTTACAATTCTATAAAATAGCAAAACTTTATCTTACTGGCATGAAACTGGGGAT